GACGGCAAAAAAAAAAATCACCTGCATCGAGTCCGATCTCGTCACAGGTCGGAAGCGAAGCGAGAAGTTGAGCCTGGACATCGCTCGGAATGGGTGACCACCGACCACGGCACGGAGAGGGAGCATTGCGGCAAAGTCCACCGTTGATGTGTCACTCAACTTCAACCAGCCCGCGGTGACCGGCGTGGTGAAGTATGGTGAAGATATCCCTCAATGTCCCACAAAGGTGTGGGGGGTGGGAGGGAGGCCCTGATCCAGGAGCTGATTGACACCTTGGCTGTGTGCGTGCAATTCAGACCTCTCTCTCTCTCTCTCCATATGTTCTTGTATCATGATAGATTGGGGCGGCTCGTGCAATTTAAATGACACCACTATTGCATCAGAGAACAGCGCGTGGAAGAAGACATCACAGACCTACTTCTGGGATCAACTTGAAGTGAGCAAAACTCATTGACGCATTTATTTATTATTTCACACGAACCCCCACCATCACCAGAGCCCACACACCATGAGCTGAGTACTCGACGCAGACGGACTACAATAAAGCATTGCATAGAATTTTGAAGCAAAATCATTTCTTGAAACTTGCATGTTGAACTTCGTTCACACCGTACGTAGCCCACCGTGCTAATCGCAGGTGCGGGGAAAGGACAACAAACATTTTTTCTATTTCAACGTAACCCATTCCCCCCCCGCCAATAGATACAAGTGACGATATTAATCCTCCGAGAAGCGAGGAGTCACGAGCACTTTATAGGCCACGCTGGTGAGACCCGCCGTGCCTCGGTTTGACGCTGCAAAGTATTATCTGTATTTTGATTTAGCGTGCTGATCTTAAAGGTGCATTGAAAAATGTGATCCTCCGACTGATGCCTCTGCTGTTGTGGAGTAACTCATGCTATGGCTCTAGGATTTGGTGTTACATGTTATTTATGTAGTTTATTGTACAAATTCGGTCACAGTCCCTGTGATCACTGTTACGTTGCAATTATGGCTTTATTTTTTGGTGATTTGGAAAACGCTTTTTTGGTTTGGACATGTTTGTTTTGTTGTAGTACGGAGTTAGACTGATGGCCTTAATCTAACTTTTCTTGTGGTTGTTGTTGTTTGACTTGCATCCCACTGGGATTTTTTGCACACAGCGTTGGTGTACGGCGCTTTTTTCAGGGATATTTTGCTGTTTATTCTTGGATTTTCTGTTTGCACAGTCACATAGTCACTTTAAGATGTTTTTCTTGTTCGTGTTTTTGTTTTTTGTTTGTTGTGGTTGCACCCGATTCAAGAGCCGAATGGCTCACAGGGCTATACCAAAATAAATGAACTGAAAAACTGAGACAGGTCTTGGCTCCACGATCGACACATTTGGAGACCACTTCGTAAACAATTTAAGTCTCAGCAGCCAACCCGCCTTCCTTCAAACACGGAGCTCCAAGCGAAACCAACGTGGGGGAAGAGAGAGAGAAAGATTGTCACTCACACATCGGTCCACACAGCCACAGTTGCCGCACACACAAGACGCGAGACAGTCAGCAGCGTCATCTTAGGGCACGGCGAACATCGACAACATTAATCCTCAGACAGGGCAATTTTCAGAAATTGTCCGTTTCTCCCTCAACTTTCCTTCCACTCTACGCCGTATCGACATCGTGCAAATCGATCAACCAGTCTATATTTGACGTGCCTATATCGCCCTCGGCAGTGTTGGCATCGGTGCACATTTACAGCGGAATGGGGACGATGCAGGGCGTGGGGGAGCAGGGAGAGAGCATCAGGAATGAGAAAAGGAGACCCGCCACGACCTGATGAGGCGTCCGTTCTGAACGCTCGCAGAGCATTGCGCTAGCTCGTGTGTGCTCGAGAACGGCCCGTGGAAGGAGGTCGTTTTTAAAAAAACCTTTAAAACAGTCTGACTCAGCAGCTTCCCCCCCACCCCCTCTTTCTTCCTCCTGATGACGATCGCTTGTGTTGTGATCGAAACGTCGTAGTTTTTTGTTTATTTTATTTTTATTAATTTGAATCTATCTACGTGACTTTACAGAACGACCCAATGAATGTGAATTCCTGTAGTCACGAAAGCTTTCAGTCAAGAGGTCATGGCTGTCAACCCCTGATCAGTGCCCTACCTGATTACAGACCAATTAATATCTTATTGGTCACTCCATGCCCCTTATAAATCTCAACGTTCATCCTGCAAAGTCCCATCACAAGGGAGCTACACAAACCATTTTTTGTACTCAATTTCCCTGTACAAGAATACGGGTAAACAGTATGGGTTGACAGCACAGTCTTTGAGACCCCCTTCAAATGTCTGCGGTTTTTTTTTAAAGCCACCTTTCTTATTCAGCCACCATGGTCCTCTCTCCCACACGCACCCACGATAGAGAAATGCCTATCCACGTGACATCACATATTCTTCAAGGTTTCTCCAGCGCAGTCCATCTGCGACTGGGCTGGCTCGTTACCCCTTGCAGTGACTGAAACAGGATTTGGAGCCACCATCTGAGTTGTGCCCGTTCGGCAACGATAATAATTCGGTCTTGATTTGAAGCTTCCGTGACTGCAGGAATCCATGCTCTCTGGTTCTTTCGGTAAAGTCATCACGTAGACATAATAATTCGGCCAGCCACCCTCCCCTCCAACTGCCAGCCCAGCCAGGCAGAGCACGGTTCAAATTCGAGCGAGCGTACATTTAGCAATCAGAGCACGTGGTTCTCAACGTTTAAAAAATATACTATTGTTAGACACTTTTATCATTATTATTACTACACATTTTTATTTCATATTCTTGTGTATTTCGGTAAAGTCACGTAGATAGTTTCAAAGAAAATAATCAAAAGTAACAGAAAACTACGAAGTTTCGATCGCAACACAAGCGGTCGTCTTCGGGAAAATGAATTCCTGCAGTCACGAAAGCTTTAAGTCCAGATCTACACTTTTATTTAACTTGTCCTGTCGTCTGTTAATATTCTTTCAAATCTTTGACGCGCAATATCTTGGGATCTACGAAGCCGAACGAGCTGAAATGTTGTACACACAGACTCGTGGTCGCCTCTCGCGTGACAAGTCAAGAATTAATTTAAAGAACCAATCCGGGTCCCGCCCATTCTGGGCTTCTTCGTGTTTTTTTAAACTTAAAATGTTATTGCACTGTTTCAAATATATTAGAATTATCCAGACAATAACACTAGTTTGATTATTGTCTGGATTGAGATATTAGAATGAATATATACATATACAAATAATTTTTTAAAGATTAAAATAAGATTAAATGTGGTAAAAAAACACGTTTTTTCAACGCACACTTTTAATTGTACTCAATTAATCAAATGTGATGTGCTGAATAAAAGTGGGTGGCTTGCATAAAGAAAATTAAACACATCGAAAGGAAACCACCCACTTTCATTCAGCACATCAAATTTGATATATTATGGGGTCAAAATTATTAATTTCATACTTTTGAGAGAAAATAAAAGTGCTTGCATTTAAAAACATGTTTTTAAAACATATTTTTGGCGACTGTACCACCTTATTAAATTGTGTTTCAACCGAGTACCCCCCTTGCCTGACCCAAATGGTTCAAAGAAAAATATGTATCAATATTGAACATCAATATTTTAACCAAATGTCCATTTTGTGAGGTACGCTAACTCGTAAGACAACATTGTTTATAATAATTGAGTTTATACAGATCTTATATATATATCGTTGTAGGCTACCACGTGGATTTAGATTGTATTGCTGTTAATTTATATTGGCAGATTCAAACGCGATTAATCACCAATGACTCCCATGTATGATATAATTTCACACGTTTATAAATCACCCCACGTACACGCTTGGGACATTGCCACGTTACCCCCCCCCCCCCCCCCCCCCCCCCCCAGGGTTTCCATGTAACCCCCGATTGAGAAGTGCTGAATCGGAGAATGTGACAGCTGCTGTTGGAGAAACCCTAACTTGTTCACCTCGATCGAATTCACAAGCGTCCAGGAGGTTGTTCGTGAAGTCACAGGTAATAGCGACAGGTGAAATTACAATCCTCCGCGAACACGTTGACGGCCTCTTTGTCAATCCGCTGCTGGATGAGGGCCTCTACGCGATCACCGCATGGGCTGTGTGTGTGTCATTTGACACCTACTTCACCATGCTGGTCAATGCGGGTTGGTGATTAAGGTGAGGCTGAGGGACGGGAGGGTGGGAGGAGGAGGAAGAGGGCAAGGGGGGTGGGATATTGGGGTTTGAAGTTGACCAAACCTGAGAGATCTTCTCTTCACTTTCTGCTTACTATTCACGTTTATTTGGGTATTCGTAAAAATTCACCCGTGCATGCAGGCACGAGCCCCCCCCCCCCCCCGCTGCCCCCATGCATGCGTACATCCAAGGACAAAGATCCCCGTAGAGATAATGGACTGTTGGGACAAGTGCTGTTAACGAGAACCTATGCATACACACAAAGACAAAGATCCCCCGTATAGCCTTTCACAGACTGTTGGGGGCAAGTGCTGTTAGCGAGCAGCACCTTGGAAGGCCGGCACGGTACACGAATGGGGAGGGTGGCCAACACCACGCCCGGCCGCCTTTATCTAGTGGGGAGCGGTAGTGTAGCGGTTAGCGCGCTGTGCTATGAACCTGGCGACCCGGGTTCGATTCCCGCTCACGGCCAACACCCGGTGACGATTATCTGAACCGGTCCCGGGCCTCCCCTAGGTCGACTCAGCCTCAAATTAGTACCTGGTGCGATGTGTAAACATCGCCACTAGGGAGACAAAGGCGGCCGGGCATGGTGTTGTCCACCCACCCCCTTGTGTGCCGTGCCGGCCTTCATAGGTGCACTTGCCCCAACAGTCTGTTAAGGCTATACGGGCTATACGGGCTATACGGGCTATACGGGGGATCTTTATCTTTGTGTGTGCATGCGTGTGTGCATGCGTGTGTGCATGCGTGTGTGTGCGCGTGTGTGTGTGCGCGTGTGTGTGTGCGCGCGTGTGTGTGCGCGCGTGTGTGTGTGCGCGTGCGTGTGTGTGCGTGTGTGTGTGTGTGTACGTGCGTGTGTGTGCGTGTGCACGTGCGTGTGTGTGCGTGTGCGTTCAGAGCGTCGCGCCACCGCTTTTCCTCAGCGGAATGCAGCCGTCGATCTCCACGCGTTCCGGCCAACCCTGGTACTTGTTCGTCTCCTGGTTGTTCTTCGTGTGCTACAAAAGGCAGGAGGGAAGGGAAGGAAGGACAGAGAACAAACCCCGCAAGTTTACTTTCAAGCACGAGGAGACACGAGGCGACACGAGGCGTGCGTGCGCTCACCTGGCCACCGCGACTCCCGCCGTGCTCTCGGGGAACTGTCACCTGGCTCAGCAAAAATCATCGACTCGAACCGAACTCGCATTTTTTGTTTCATTTTATTTTACCAGGTAAAGCCCACCGAGCTACACAGGCGACCTGGCTATGGCAAATGATTAGCGCGACGAAGCGGCTTATCTCGCGGCAAAAAAAGACTTCTAAATGCAAAGCCGGATGTGAACCCAGGATCTCAGCGGCGGTGCTTAGGCTCGGCGCTCTGTCCTCTGAGCCGCCTGGTCTCCTCTTCAGTGTGGCAATTCTTTAATCGGTCATCCTTGCAGCAGCAGCAGCAGCAGCCGCAACAGCGGCTTTTGACTGGCCATCGAACACCGCACCGAGCGCTTTCAGATGCTCTTCTGCGGCCGTCTGGATACGCTCTTCCTTCCGCTAGCAGGAATCCACTGGGGGCTGTGAACTTTGAATTCGTCTAAAGCAGGGGTGAGGAACCTTTTTTTTCCTACCAATGGCCACTTGTATATTTATAACATCATTCGCGGGCCATACAAAATTTTCAACATAAAAATTTGCCCGTTATATTCATAGTCCTGGTTCTTTCGGTAAAGTTGTTTCCCTTCTACGTGACTTTACCGAAAGAACCAAGAGTATGTTATATTCAGTCAAACATTTAATTAACTCGCCCCTAATGTGATGGCTGGAATTGCTTCTCTTTGGTAAGGCGTGTGATGATGTTAGCTGGTATTGATGATGTTGCTACTCGCAACTGCTTTTCCAGGTTTGCTCTCCTAGATTTATTGAATTTCGAGTCCCGCCTGCAGTTGCCTTGGCAGGGCCAGAGACCAAATTATTTCGCGGGGCCTCATACGGCCCGCGGGCCGGACGTTCCCCACCCCTGCTCTAGATTGACAAACTAATTTCTTTAGAACTTCTTTTTTGTGGTCAGTTTGTTGTCCTTCCCGCCCCCCCCCCCCCCGGCACCTCCCGATGAGCGCGGTTGGCTACGTGCGGTGCGAAAGAAGTTCAACGTGCACGTGCACCTGACGTAAAAACAACCCTCGATAAAAATAGAAGAAAAAAAACCCCACCCCGAGCTTACCGCTTCGAACAGAGAGCTGTTCGCGTTGCCTTTCGTGCCCACGAAGACCCACGTGTCCCGGTAGGCGATGTTCTTTATAAAGCGGCTTCCCATCGCAGCAAACAAGTTGCGAGCTTCTGCGTTCAGCCTGCAAGGGGACACAGAGATCCGCCCAGCACGATGGCAGACGTGGGTTTATTAAACAGGGATGACCCACAAAAGGTCAGGACACATCGGGGTTATTTCATGTGTTTTAACACACACGGGGTCTCTGCGAGTCTTTGGGTCTCGGTGTGTCTATAGGTGTCTGTGTGATTCTATGGGTTTCTATACGAATCTATGGGTCTTCATATGAGTGAGTAGTGTATATGGGTCGCTATGCGAGTCTAAGGGCGGCACATGTGAGTCTACGGGCGCTGTATGAGTATTTGAAGTCTCTGTGAGACTTTCTCCCGATGAGCCTGCGGGTCTCTCTCCATGAGCCTACGTGCCTCTACGTGAGTACATGGGTCTATGTCTGAATCTGGACGTGCTAAATGGATGGCCCCGTACGTACGTACACACACACACGCACACAACGTACGCTGAACTTTCTTTCTATCGAGGATGAACCTGTTCAACGCGAGTGTTGCCTATCGCACGCGCAACAAAACCGGCACAACCCCAGAGTGAGAACAAAGCATTCCTTAGTTATTTTAAGACGAGCTGAAATCCAGTTTCCGCAAAGGCCGACGACCACTCTCACCGGCAGAGTCAGGGCCGGTGCTAGAGTTGCAAACCCTTCCGGGTCTGGCCGGGACGGTTGGCAACCCCAGTCGGTGGGCCCGCGCGTGCAGACGATTGCGCAATACAATTCTGCTGCCCCCCCCACCCTACTCCCCCCCCCCAAGGAACCCCCGCCCTTCCACCACCTCCTCTTCCTCCCGTGAAACGGCGGGGACCCCGCGCTTTGCCTTCGTTCAGCAGATTGGGGAGGAGGAAGGGAGGCAGGGGGGAGGGGCACAGCAGCCTCGGTCCCCTGTTGCCAACTGCACCCACCGGTGCTCGCATTTAGCTGTCATGAAACTTGAATAATTGACGCTTAATGCCGAGGGCACCGTGGCTGCCGTTCCCCACCTTGCCACCGCCGCCCCCTTCCCCCCACCCGAGAATCCCCGCGCCCTCTGCGTCACGGGGGGACGTTAAAGATCCCGTGACGTCATCTGCAAGCGTTCGGCCAATCGCGTGCCGGTGTCAAAATCCAAATTTGCCACGTTTGAAAAAAAAGTTACACCGCAGATTAACTGCGATTGGAATTACAGGGACTCCTCTACTTACGTACGAGTTAGGTTCCAGAGGTCTGTTCGTAATTCGATTTATTCGTAAGTCCATCTTTACTCCTGTCGATTCCAAACGCGTTGTTACGGCATGTACACTAAACACGGGGAATGGCTTTACAAGTTGTATAATCTCCTGTAGAGACGTAGATGCCACTGATTCTTCACATTCTGCATATATAGATGCCAGCACCGCCATCCGTAGTGCGGCGGTTGAACTTACGACTCTCGGTCTGAACAGGAAACTGGACATACGGACAGGCTTGTTCGTATCTCTGAAAGTTCCTAAGTCGAACGTTCGTAAGTAGAGGAGTCCCCCGTGTACACACAGCAGCATTCACTGCGTCCTCGTGGCAGACTAAAGCCCCAAGGTCATCGCTCTTACAAATTAGACTATAATCCTGGTCTCTTGAGTTCTCGCCTGGCCAAACAATATCAACTTCAAACTCTGCGGCATTGAGCCCTGGGTGTGTACACAACTTGTTGGCCAAGGGACTTACTTGGAGGCTGGTTCATCAAACGAAGCAATCAGCAGCAAGGAGCCGTCCGTTACGATCTTCAGGAGGTTGATGAGCTCTGTGATATCTGAAAAAAAAGTTCGACATCCGCCGAGACGTTAACGTTAAGCCGGCGTGTTGGAGGTTTGTAGCCTTCGCACCTGTTAGGGGCCGTCCATAAATGACGTCACGCAATTTTGGACGATTTTTTTACCCCCCCCTCCTCCTCGTCACACGGCGTCACAAAAAATCAGACCCCCCCCCTCAAATATGACGTCACAAAGCTCTGCCCTCCCCCCCCAAAACAATATAAAACATGCTTCAATTCGTTTTAAACTATTGTCATTGTAGTGTGTATTTAAATGTGGTGCTGCACTCTGATGTTGTAGGAGGCAACATTTATAAAAAAGTCTACTTAATTAAATTTTCTTGCTGTGGTTTTCACGCCTGATGATGATTGCTTGTGTTGCAGTCGAAACGTCGTGAGAATTTTATTGTTTTATATTTTTATTTTTTAATTATTTTATTGTTTCTCTTCTTCGTGACTTTACCGAAAGAACCAAGAATATAAGTAGAACGTGTTGTCTATATTTATTTAAAGTTGCGCATTTTGATGTGACGTCACATTTCTCAAACCCCCCCCCCCTCGTCACACATCGTCATAAATGTCTGACCCCCCCCCTAGGTGCATGACGTCATTTATGGACGGCCCCTTACGCGAATTCGTGTCACCTTCAACACCACTGATGGCCGTCGACCAGGTGAAAATGGCCGTCGTTCTACTGTGAAAAAGAGCTTTGTAGCTCATCGGATTCCTCGAGCATAAGTAAATGTTCTGATTCTCAAATGCATATTCTGATTCTCAATCGAGGTGATGGTCAGGAGAGCTGAAATGCCGAAAACAGGACCTTGCATCGCTCAAAAAACGTTCGCACAAAGCCCTCTCGTGACTAGCAGACATCGGCATTTAGCTTCTGAACATATTGGCACGCTGCAAGAAAGAATCCCTGTGAATGTTGGACCAACGTTAGCGCAACGTTGGGATGGAACGTTTGCTTACTGTGTTATACAAAGGTCCACTGAAGCGGGTATGACTAAACAGCTTCCGAGATCCCTTCAAGCGGCTTCTCTGATCCACACGGATCAGGGAAGCCGCCGACTGCCTTCGCGGCGCTTGTCCGTGGTTATCTCCCGAGCCTCCCCGTTCCCGAAACCGCGCTCGTAAACAAAATTTTGTACGGAGCCGTGACGGTCATTCGCGCGATTCGCGCGAACCGTGGCCGGAGGTTGAACCGCACGCCACGTGACATCGCACGTCACGTGACATCGCACGTCACGTGACATCGCAGCGGTGGCAGCTCGGCACTCTGAACCTTGGGGCCGCATTGATCCCTCATCGCCACTGGAAACCACCCTCAGCATCAATTAAAAGTGGCACCCAAATGTGTGAGATGAACCGTGGCAAAGCCATTGCAATCTCAGCCGACGAGATAGGCGCGTTTTCAATAAGACAAAAACCAGGTTCTTCGATGATGGTTTTTATTTTTTGTTACACCAGCGAGCTATTATGTTGTAGCAGTTTTGACATTCTGCTACAACATGGACCGTGTGGTCCATAGTTTGGGTGTGCTTGAGCACAGCCGTCCCGTGGCCTGTCTCTTAATTTTCCACTCATGAAGGAGACGCACGCATTGACCTTGTGACCTTCTGATGCGTTTGATTGTCACCCCGGCTACGACGTGGGCATGCAATTGCGATGTAGGCATGTAGCTGTGCACACAAATGCATGTATTGAGATGCGTGGGCAGCCCAAACTTACCACCTTCGAACGTGTCAAACACTTCCGTGTGTATCACAGCGCCTGTTGCTCCTGTGCAACGAGAGGAATTTTTTTTCAAAGTTAAAAATGAGACGTGCAATTGGTTTGAACGCGATAGCAACAACGTCGTAGCCGCGGCACGCTAAAGGGGAAGGGGCAGCAGAGTCGAGGATGCAATGCGCGGGGAGAAGAGAGAGGAACGGGAGAGGGAAATTAGGCCGGGGCGGAAGTCGCCTCCCCCAAGACGGACAAAGAGGAGGGCACGGGCTCGAGATGAGCAGCAGGGAGAGAGGAGGAGGAGGAGCGCTGGTGCTGGAAGGGGAGGACGGGGAGATGGAATGATGTCGGAAGCTAGAGGGTGGTGGTGATGAGAGGCGAGGGAAGAAGAGAGGGAGGGAGAAGGTAGGAAGGAGCGAGCGAGAAGTGAGGTGCATGGGGAAGCAGTGTGTTTTCAGAATCAGAATATGTATTTATACTGGAGGAATCCAATGAGCTATGATGCAATTTTTCACAGATGTCCTGTAGGGGCGAGTAATAACGTGACAACAACAAACAATATAAAACACGATAGGAGTGCAAAGTAGAGGAAAGATAAACAAATCACTTTAAAAAATATACAATTAAAACTAAACTATGTTTTTCTTACGAGGTAAAGCCCACTGAGCTATATATAGCTCTTTTTCAGAAGCGACCTTGCCACAAATGACCGCTCAACGAAAGTGGCTCATCACGTGGGAGTTTATAGCAGCCAAATATGCGCCAGGGTCAGGATCGAAACGCATGTTCAGGGGGTAGTCACGCAGAAGTCACGTGACTTACGGCAGGCTTGCGCGAGATAGATATGTTTTAGTTCTCTTAAATTCTCAAGGGCAACTAGTGCAACGCGCGAATTCATCATTACTTTCATCGTCAAACAATTTATTTATAACATTTTATTTATGAGCAGAGGAGAGCCTGCTGGGTCCTTATGTATAGTTTTTTTTAAACAAAGATCTCGGCTAAAAACAATAAAGTACGACGATTGTAACCTTTATTACAATCAACAAATGGTAATGGTGCAGCCCTGCAGTTCCTTGCTCATCCCCACTGCTGGTGGAAGAGCCTCCACTAGAGGGAGCTCTAGAGAGCTCCTCTCCAGGGAATTTTAGCCTCTACTTTTCCACACTGGCTGTACGTGTGAGTGCCCACACTTTACCCCACCACATGTGATTTACCGATCCACTAATTGTGGCGAACCCACGTGCACTGCTGGGTGGTCAGAGGCGGTGGCAGTCGGGGCATTGAGAAACTTGCACCATTGTCTCAACTGCCAGCGCCAGGAGATGGAATCAAACCGGCAAAATTTTGTAAAAAATGATCAAACTGTGGTTTATTTTAACAGGGCAAGGCCCACTGAGCTATATGGCTCTTTTTCAGATGCGACCTGGTCACAGATGATAGCGCAACGAAAGTGGATTATTAGGTACAAATTTCGCAGATAAATGCAACAAACGGATGTTGTTTCTAAATGTGGAGGGAAAAACCGGAGAAGCCAGAGAAAACTCCACGCTGCAACGGGGATAACATGCTACAATATATAGGCGGCACGGTCGGGCTTGAACCCACAACCTCCTGCATACCAGGCGAGGTGGTTAACATCTCGCCACCGTGGTGCCTTTAAGTACAGCGAGTTGATGGTGTCATCATATTCACGTTTTTGTTATACCAATTTGGCTAAATGTCAGCGCTGAGAGTTTATATATCCATTTGGCTGCCATGTGACAAGTATCAATCCCACGTGTAAAGATAAGCAAAAAACCCCTCTTTTAATAACATTGTGACTGTCAAAAAAATATATATAATTGGTGATGTTCCAGGCAATGGTTCTTCTTCATAACGTGTGGAGATAAACGCAAGGTGATTTAAAGAGATTTTCATAAGTATTTAAGTGAACATTTCTTGGGCTATTGGGAGATTTCCGAATGGATTCTTTGTCTCATAATAATGACACTGATAGCGCACCAGGAATAAAATGCAGGGGGTGGGTGTGGATTCGTCTTTGTCACGCATGAAAAATATAACAAATTAAGCATTATAATAAACAAATACGGCCACTTACCATTCACAACAGCAATGTTAAGTCCAAGCCCCACATTGTATAAGTCGCCATCCATAACTCTGCATACAGGGCAAAACAATATTCGGTCAGTCGATATAAATTACGGTGGTAACGTACTAAATGTGTTTTTAGTGCCCCAGCTGGACTGAAAATGTGCATAATCGCATGTGAATGTACACAATTCCCTGTCAGGTCTCGTGCCTTTTACCTATAACATAGTGAAATGCAGGGCGCGTTGTCAATGTACTACTGGATGAAGGACTTTTCATTGCCGTGTTATTCATGGGGGAGTATTTTTTTACCGTGCTTCACCACGTTACTCAGTGTGCGTTGAAGGCTAGGCAGGGTGGCCCAGCGCTGGTTCAGATATCACGTGGCTAACTCGCAGCCGTGGCTAACTCGCCACCAATATCAGCCGTGGCTAACTCACCACCAATGTCAGCCGTGGCTAACTCGCCACCAATGTCAGCCGTGGCTAACTCACCACCAATGTCAGCCGTGGCTAACTCGCCACCAATGTCAGCCGTGGCTAACTCGCCACCAATGTCAGCCGTGGCTAACTCGCCACCAATATCAGCCATGGCTAACTCACCACCAATATCAGCCGTGGCTAACTCGCCACCAATGTTAGCCGTGGCTAACTCACCACCAATGACAGCCATGGCTAACTCACCACCAATGTCAGCCGTGGCTAACTCGACACCAATGTCAGCCGTGGCTAACTCGCCACCAATGTCAGCCGTGGCTAACTCGCCACCGAAGTCAGCCGTGGCTAACTCGCCACCGAAGTCAGCCGTGGCTAACTCGCCACCAATGACAGCCGTGGCTAACTTGCCACCAATATCAGCCGTGGCTAACTCGCCACCGAAGTCAGCCGTAGATAACTCGCCACCGAAGTCAGCCATGGCTAACTCGCCACCGAAGTCAGCCGTGGCTAACTCGTCACCAATTTCAGCCGTGGCTAACTCGTCACCAATATCAGCCGTGGCTAACTCGCCACCAATATCAGACGTGGCTAACTCGCCACCGAAGTCAGCCGTGGCTAACTCGTCACCAATATCAGCCGTGGCTAACTCGCCACCAATGTCAGCCGTGGCTAACTCGCCACCAATATCAGCCGTGGCTAACTCGCCTCCAATGTCAGCCGTGGCTAACTCACCACCAATGTCAGCCGTGGCTAACTCACCACCAATATTAGCCGTGGCTAACTCGCCACCAATGTCAGCCGTGGCTAAATCGTCACCAATATCAGCTGTGGCTAACTCGCCACCAATATTAGCCGTGGCTAACTCGCCACCAATATCAGCCGTGGCAAAACTCGCCACCAATGTCAGCCGTGGCTAACTCACCACCAATGTCAGCCGTGGCTAACTCACCACCAATATCAGCCGTGGCTAACTCGCCACCAATGTCAGCCGTGGCTAACTCACCACCAATGTCAGCCGTGGCTAACTCGACACCAATGTCAGCCGTGGCTAACTCGCCACCAATGTCAGCCGTGGCTAACTCGCCACCGAAGTCAGCCGTGGCTAATTCGCCACCGAAGTCAGCCGTGGCTAACTCGCCACCAATGACAGCCGTGGCTAACTTGCCACCAATATCAGCCGTGGCTAACTCGCCACCGAAGTCAGCCGTAGATAACTCGCCACCGAAGTCAGCCATGGCTAACTCGCCACCGAAGTCAGCCGTGGCTAACTCGTCACCAATTTCAGCCGTGGCTAACTCGCCACCAATATCAGCCGTGGCTAACTCGCCACCGAAGTCAGCCATGGCTAACTCGCCACCAATGTCAGCCGTGGCTAACTTGTCACCAATATCAGCCGTGGCTAACTCGCCACCAATATCAGACGTGGCTAACTCGCCACCGAAGTCAGCCGTGGCTAACTCGTCACCAATATCAGCCGTGGCTAACTCGCCACCAATGTCAGCCGTGGCTAACTCGCCACCAATGTCAGCCGTGGCTAACTTGCCTCCAATGTCAGCCGTGGCTAACTCACCACCAATGTCAGCCGTGGCTAACTCGCCACCAATGTCAGCCGTGGCTAACTCGCCACCAATGTCAGCCGTGGCTAAATCGTCACCAATATCAGCTGTGGCTAACTCGCCACCAATATCAGCTGTGGCTAACTCGCCACCAATGTCAGCCGTGGCTAACTCGCCACCGAAGTCAGCCGTGGCTAACTCGTCACCAATATCAGCCGTGGCTAACTCGCCACCAATGTCAGCCGTGGCTAACTCGCCACCAATGTCAGCCATGGCTAACTCGCCACCAATGTCAGCCGTGGCTAACTCGCCTCCAATGTCAGCCGTGGCTAACTCATCACCAATGTCAGCCGTGGCTAACTCGCCACCAATGTCAGCCGTGGCTAACTCGCCACCAATGTCAGCCGTGGCTAACTCGCCACCGAAATCAGCCGTGGCTAACTCGCCACCAATGTCAGCCGTGGCTAACTCGCCACTGCACAGCACCTCGGTGGTTGTCATTTTGAACACGCGCGACTAACAGTCGAGCTTTCCGGCACGTCGTCCGACGTTCTGCTCCTCGTTCTGGGAGCTTCTTTAGGAACCCGAATCGCGGTCGGCGCACACGGAGCGAAAACGTCGGACTCCGTCACAGAAAACGGCGCACTCGCACGCGGACGCGCTCACCACGGCCACCACCACAACCCACAAACCAACCATTGCGGAGAGAGCCGCCGTGGCCGCACGGGAGACCGAGTCCCTATGGGGCGGTACGACTCACGTTCGATTCTCGATGCAAATGTGGGGCCCGATGAAGGTGTTCTCTCCGCTCGCCATCCTGAACGCCAGGTGGCCTAGCGGGCACGCCTCTGCTCTCCCGCACTTGCCCTTCGTCGTTGCCGCTGCACGCAACGGCAACCGGGAGCATGGATATGGCGGTCGCGTCAAGTTAATTTTACACGATGCGATGAATTTCCTACGATGTGATGATTTCAGAGTCTCGTAACGTTTGTTTTTACTGCATGTCACAATTGTGCTGTACGGTGTTTGTGCTGTGCTGTACTTCCAGTACGAATTAAGGTTACCGTACTTGAGAATCAGTTTTAATTACCAGCGGCTAAAACCCAGATTCGAACCCAGGGTCTTAGCGGTGTAGACTCAATGCTCTGACCCTTGTGCCACCAATCCAGCACCCACCCACCCACCCAGCCACCTACCCAGCCACCCAACCACCTAGCCACCCACCCATTCAGCCACCCAGCCACCCACCCACTCAGCCACCCAACCACCCACCCAGCCACCCACCCAGCCACCCACCCAACCACCCACCCAGCTATCCACCCACCAAACCACCCAGCCACCCAGCCACCCAGCCACCCAGCCACAAACCCAGCCACCCACCCACCCAGCCACCCTCCTATCCACCCACCCACCCGGCCACAAATCCACCCAGGCACCCAGTCACCCAGCCACACATCCACACAGCCACTCAGCCACACATCCACACATCCACACAGCCACACATCCACCCAGCTACACAGCCACACATCCACCCAGCTACACATCCACACATCCACACAGCCACACATCCACCCAGCTACACATCCACACATCCACCCAGCCACACATCCACACATCCACCCAGCCACACATCCACAGTCACACATCCACACATCCACACATCCACCCAGCCACACATCGACACAGTAGCACATCCACACATCCACCCAGACTCCCATCCACACAACCACCCAGTCACACATCCAGACATTCAGCCACCCACCCATCCACCCAGTCATCCATCCACACAGCCACCTTCCCATGTGATGTGTTCATGAGGAGCCTATCAGTCACACATACAAACCTGGCACTGTGAAGGTAGCTTCAACGTTATCTGCAGTCCACACACAAAAGAGCAATAAGAAATGTCGATTAACGTTCTAAAGGCTACATCATAAAAAAAATAATGAAAGTCCATGATACATGATGCATTCAAGTTTGTGTGTAAAAGTAGAATGGTTGGTTGTGTACATATCGAAAGAGGTTCAACATACACACGTACATATACAATTCATGAATATGAGCTCCACATGATACGGTCACGTTACATCTGAGTTAATGGTGTTAACAAAACCGTAAAAGTCAGCAAAAATAACCTCGAAGCAAAACAAAAGTGCCGGTAATACAAAATATAAAAATATTGTTTCATGAAATCACAATCCAAATCGCCCCCCCCCCATTTTTCCTTGAAATCGTTGGGGGGCGAGGGGTGGGGGCGAAGGGGGGGCGAGTGGGGGGGGGGTCAGGTAATCGTTACACGAATTGGTTCTGGTTCGGCACGGCGACCAGCCAATGGAAAACCACCCCCCATGAGTGTCAGTACGTACGTATGTACTGTGCGTATGTTGAACTTCTTTCGCACCGTACGTAGTGAAACCACGCCACTCAAAGAACGGGCCTGCGTGTCTCTTGTTGCGAAGGGACACCTGGAGTCTTACCTTTGGAGAAGACGTCCCAAATCCTCCGTTCCAGTTTGAGCTCTATCGTGCTGTTCACCCAGTAAACGCCGACGATAAATAAGACTCCGATCACCGACACTTTGAAGATTACTGCCACCAAGAGAGGGCATAACAAAATTACCGAGAGCAAATTTTTTGTTACGGGATGCCGCTGTCTACGAACATATGTAGGTAGAACTTCTTTCGCACCGTACGTAGCCAACCGTGCTCATCGAAGGTGCGGGGTAAGGACGAAATGAAAACGAAACTGGTGAGCAGCGCACGGGACTTGCAATCCAGAGGTCACTGGTTTGATATGATTTCCCGGCGTGGCAGTTGAAACCGTGGTGCAAGTTTATTTAAAGCCCCCATGGCTCCACCCCCGCATCCACACAAAATCGTGCATCCATTACGATGTTGTGTGGACGCGCCGACGTCAGATCGGCGTGTTGGTGATTACAAGGCCGTGAGGTCTCGCGGCCTCCCATCGTTGTTATTGAGCTGATCTGGCCCGTGCCTTCCAATCACTCCAGCCCAGGTGCCCGCATCATCACAACCCTCTGGGGCATTGAAGTGACCCAACAACAAAATGACTCGCGCCCGAGGGGCCACTTGAGCCAGCCCCCTGAATAAAGCCCACGCAGAACATGGGGAGAGAACACACAACATCCAAACTCCACACAGAGACGGGAGAGAGTGACGAGACCGAGCCAGGGAATCGAACCCAGGCACTTGTCGCTGTGATGCACGAACGTTATGCCACCACCGCCACCGCGCCAAACTCGTTGCACGTGGGCATGCCAGTTACCGTCGCCTCTCATCGTCGCTGCTCGGGCGTGCCACGTGGACGCTTTGTGATGAGCACGATGTTCGGACTTCACCGCACTTGAGGACAATCTGCAATACGTGAACGGCAAAAGTTACCATTCGATCGACGTGAAATAAAGCGCCTTGCGTTTCTATGAAATATCCTTCCATGTTCCTAGCCCCCCCCCCCCTCCCACCAGCATTCTGGCACTCGCTACTGCGAGGAGAACACGTGCCTGTGTTTCACGAGACAAAGATCCCTTAGCGGACGTTTGGGGCAAGTGCTGTTAGCGAGCACCTATGAAGGTCAGCGCGGCACAATATAGGGGGTGGGTGGCCAGCGCCACACCTGGCCGTCTTTGTCTCCCCAGCGTGTACACACCGCACCAGGTACTCATTTGAGGCTGAGTCGACCTATGTGAGACCCAGGACCGGTTCAAATAATCGTAGTCTGCTCATGTTCATGACCTCACCTCCGATTAACACAGTGTAAAAGAAGTTCAACATACATACATACTCAAAGACACACAAAGGTCGCCCGCATATCCTTAAATAGACTGCTGGGGCAAGTGCCATAAGCAAGCACAACATTGACATCATGACAATGTTAGATTTAAAGCTTTCGTGACTGCTAGGATCCATACTCTTTGGTTCTATTGGGTAAAGTCACGTAGGTGAAAATAAAATAACAAAAAATCACGACGTTTCGGGTTCATTTGGCAGTGCGCCAACCACTGCGACGCCACTCCCACTCAATAGACGTGTGTGATTATAATTCCGAATGGATGCACTATATAATAATGTAGAGAGATATATGTATAGCAAGGCTGGTGAGTCAGACGTCTTCCGTGAGACCTGCTGTTCCAAGGGGCTGGCTGAAGTGGCCCCTCGGGATCGAGTCATTTTGTTGTTGGGTCACTTCAATGCCCCAGTGGGTTGTGATGTTGCGGGCACCTGGGCTGGAGTGATTGGAAGGCACGGGCCAGATCAGCTCAATAACAACGATGTGAGGCCGCGAGACTTCACGGCCTTGTAATCACCAACACGCCGATATCGACATCGGCGCGTCCACACAACATCGTAATTGATGCACGATTTTGTGTGGATGCTGCGGGGTGGAGGGAGTGGGTGGTGGTGTTTGATCATACTTCACCACACTCATGAATGTGGCTTTGGTGAAGTGGGAAAAGTGGGGGGGGGGGGGGGGGGGCAAGGAAGGATCGGTTTCCTAAAAATGTCTCTACTTTTTCCCTCGCCACTGGAGAAGATGCCAATCCTGTCAGTCGGGTCCTCCCCCCCCCCCCCCCCAATTCAGGATTCACGGCTCGCAAAGTGGTGCGCTGCTTAACTACTGCGGCGTCACCGCCTCTCGACCGCAACCCGACGATCCCGTCCCACCACCACCACCACGCGACCCAAACACCCACGCGGGCTTTGCCGGAGGGCTACGACACATGTATACTTAACGCGATCTAAGGCCCAAAAAAACGTTATTATGGATAATATTGGAACTCGCAAGCCTGCGTGTCAAACGAACTCGCGACAACGAAGTCGAAGTAAGGAGGTGTAAATCCGTGACGAGTCGCATCTGCGGGGTTTTTTTGCTGCTGCTGCTTGCTTGCATCGGAAATGTCCCGCGGACTATTGCCAAGGAAGGGCGGTCGGTCTTCCGCACATTGGTTACTCAAAATATTTTCACCGTGCAATAACGCACCCCGCAAAAAAAAATAATTCATTATCGGCAATTATCGATGACTGGAAATCTCACAAAGGCGTGCTTCGGTGCGCCCGAACACGCACGGACGCGTCTCCGTCGGCAGTACAGCAACGACGTTCACGAGCGCTGTACACACAATGTCGAGGCAGGCCTTTTGCCAATACACTGCTGAATGACGATAGCCTCGCGTCGCGCCGTGCCTTGGGGATTGTGTGAGCAGACATCAATAAAGGGCGGGAAGGGCTTGTGTTGAGGTGAGGTGTGGCGTGGTTCAAGTGAGGTGTGGTGGGTCAAGTGAGGTTTCGGTGTGGATAGTGAGGCGAGATGAGATCACTCCGGAGGTCTGTTTCGCGTGCCCTACATACGAGTTGAGGGTAGACATTTTGCCCTCCCGTACGTCCAACTGTGTCAAGCTGAACGAAACGCACTCTGCCGTCACATCCTGCTCCGTGAAGCCATATCGGTTGCACAGTCAACATCCAAAATGCCGCCAGTGACTCTGCGACTCACTCCAAAAAGTCCACAGTGGGTAACCTTCCCTCCTTCTCCATCCTGCGCGCATCTGCCACCCGTCACAAACTTCCTCCTGATTATCCAGCGTGGCCCAAAAGTCACGACACATGCGGGCTATTTAGTTTATTTTAAACACTCGCATTAAAACATTGAAGTCGTGTATTTTTTTTAAGTTAACATCTAATTTAATATTCATCATTACTATTTATTTGCTGCTAGCCAAGCACCCCGTCGTGTGCCGTGCCGGCCTTCATAGGCGCTCGCTACCAGCACTTGCCCCAAAAGTGTGTTCAGGTTATACGGGGGATCTTTGCCTTTGTTACGTCGAAGAATTTGGAGAGAGATGGTGGCGACGTTTACACACCGCACCAGCCACTAGTTTGAGGCCGAGTCGATCTAGGGGAGCCCCAGGACCGGTTAAGATCATCGAACTCGGGTCGCCGCGTTCGAAGCGCAGCGCGCGAGCCACTGCGCCACCGCTCCCCTTTGCGCCGTAGCGAATCCACCCAGGCACCTGCTGCACCACGAACCGATTGCATCGCTCCGTCTCCATGTGTCGACTGTCCTCTCGGATGCATTTCCATTTCTTGGCTGCCACTCCCTGACCACCCTTCACCGTCGAGCCACGACGTGTCCTGGCTCAAGCCCCGCCCACTTTTCTCAATCGTTTGGATGACGCAATTAACCCGCACGTGTTCTCCAAACCCGTGAGTTCCTCTCTCTGCCTCGCAGTCATTCGTATCGTTAATTTAAAAAAAACCCCGCTGTGGTCTGCGGTCCTTCAACGGAGGGACAGCAAAAGGACACGAACTTTTTCTCTCTCTCTCTCTGTTTCTCTCTGCTGAAGCCCCTCTCGTCGTGGCCGGCAGACCTCAGACATTGGCATCGAGCTCCTGAACAACACACTGCTGCCATCGTACGCAAGAGGTTGAGTGGTGTAACGCCACGCATACGTCTGCTGCCTGCTTATGTGCACACTTTCACGTCTTTATTTCCCATTAAGCCCAATTGTGTTTCTTCTAAAGCACGTCAAAGCGAGTAGTAGGCGCTCACTGAAAACCTCCTTAAGGCACACTGTGGTATTGTTAATATCCATCAACCTTTTAAAATCAAGTCACGTGCTATTATTAATAGCACCAATGCAGTCTCTCGTGCGCCTAGGGAGTGGCTCAATGGGGAATAATCATAATGTGAACTGCTGGCCATCAATAAAAAAAATACTCAACAGATTCGTCAATATAACACACTGTTGGCCTTAAATATGTAATATATATGATAGGCAACGTTTCAGAAAACCGCCCTTCTTCATAGCACACGACTATTTCGCGGTAGATACCGATGCAGTCTGTCAGCTGGCAACCAACGCGGTTGGATGTCTCAAAAACCCAGACGTCGATTCCGAACTTTTGTTTGCCGTGAACAATGAGAGAGTTGCCCACTCCTGCAACACGCCAAAGGCAAGAAGGATGATAATTGCACACCAAATCGCTGGCATCCTGCTGCAGTTGCTGAGCAGCCAGACTCGAGAAATTTTAAATATGAAACTTGCCGATTGCACACATGAAAACAAATACCTGTCCCGTGAGGTCGATGAGACTATTTAGAGATGGACTGAAAAGATCCAAAACATTATTTGACCTCCTTTGCCAATACCAAAATATGTTTGGTTACCATAAAAGAGGAAAAACCCCTATTCTTATATTTTGGTACTAGCAAAGGAGGTCCCATGATGTAGATGCTCACCCCGAGCTCTCATTACTCTGATAGTGGCATTGCCTTTGTGCTGTTCGGCTTTTGGCGTCCTCTAGTCTAGCACAGTTTGAGACGAGGCTCAAAAGAAAGCTGTCTCTGATGTGGACCAATCAGTTTCAAGGACAATGCACGTATTATCAGAGTATGTTTTTTGTTTTCATTCTGACCACAAGTATTGTGGTTAATGTACACATGATTCCTTGTAAAAGGTTTCAGTTTTTTGCCAGAAAAAAAGAGGAAAAAACCCTATTCTTAGATCCAAAACAGTCAATTGCCATTCGATCAGCTTATACGCGACTACAAGGCGCTCCGGAAAGTAAGACGCACCTCAAACTTTATGCCCTGCGCGAATAAAGTTGTACAAAATCTGTCGCACACACAAACCTACCGGATTATAAGACGCAGCTCAATAGAGTTGGAGACATCTGGTCACACACACACGAACCTACCCAAGTATAAGACGCAGCTCAATAAAGTTGTACAAATTTGGGTCACACACCCACGAACATACCGGATTACAAGACGCAGCTTAATAAAGTTGTGGACATCTGGTCACACACACGAGCCTACCGGATTATGAGTTGCACCTCAATAAATTTGTACAAATCTGGGTCATACACCCACGAACCTACCGGCTTATAAGACGCACCTCAATAAAGTTGTACAAATCTGGCCACACACACACGCACCTACCGGATTATAAGACGCAGCTCAATGAAGTACAAACTGGTCACACGCGCATCTACCGGATTATAAGACGCACCTAAATAATAACAGTAATACATTAGTTTTTTAAGTGTTTATCAAAAAAGAAATAAAAAAGCGCTTTGAGCAATTACGCAGCACTACTACGGCCACGTGGGAGGCAGTCTTAGAATTTTTTTTATTTTTTATTTTACTAGGTAAGGCCCACTGACCTATATAGCTCTTCATTTTCAGAAGCGACCTGGCCACAAATGATAGCTCAACGAAGTGGCTTATCACGGGGAAATGTATAGTAGGGGTTCGGAAACCAACAAAACACGAAGAGCGATATTTTTTTTTAATTTGGTAAAAAGCCCCTAAATATTTCAAGAGCCGCATTGCACTGTGGTGAAGACGAGACGGTGGGATCCTTCATGAACAACGCCACGAAGCGGTCCTTAAAGGGCCGTAAGCGGCTCTGGAGTCGCGGGTTTATCGACCCTCTGCTCTAAACGCGTGGAGGGAAAAACCAGAGGACCCGGAGAAAAATCCACGCGACCACGGGGAGAGAGGGAGACACGCAAACTCCAAATATACAGCAGCAGGCATCGTCAGGGTCGGGATCGAACGCACGACTTCCTGTATACCAGGCGAGGTTGTTAACGTATCCCTGCCACCGTAATGATGATGAGAGAGAGAGACACGCAAACTCCAAATATACAGCAGCAGGCATCGTCAGGGTCGGGATCGAACGCACGACTTCCTGTATACCAGGCGAGGTTGTTAACGTCTCCCTGCCACCGTAATGATGATGAGAGAGAGACACGCAAACTCCAAATATACAGCAGCAGGCATCGTCAGGGTCGGGATCGAACCCACGACTTCCTGTATACCAGGCGAGGTTGTTAACATCTCCCTGCCACCGTAATGATGATGATGAGAGAGAGAGAGAGAGACACGCAAACTCCAAATATACAGCAGCAGGCGTCAGGGTCGGGATCGAACGCACGACTTCCTGTATACCAGGCGAGGTAGTTAAAATTTCGCCACCGTAGCGCCCCAGGTCGTACGGCTAAGAGAGAGAGAGAGAAACGTGTAGGAGCAAGTAACACATACGGGGGTTGTGGCGAGGAAGCGAAGAACCAAAAGCAGCAGGAGGAAAATAAATACGTAAAAAAACCGATGCGAGTTTTGAGCCGTGCCTTGAAGACATCAAGAACAGACGCTCGGTCAGGGAGAAGACGCGTGGGGGGTAAGGGGGAGTTGCATTGACACGGGGCGGGGGAGCCTCGAGGCGAGCACGGACGCGCGGGCAACCCCGTGCGAGTCGGAAGACGCGTCTTTGGGACGCAGAGGAACGAATGTCTTGATCCGAGACGAGCAGTAGGTTACGAGATTATGAGCGAGGGTGCGATAGTGCACGCATACAGGTCGGCGCGAGCGCTCTTAATGAGTTGTACAAAGTCTGGTGACACGCAACGATAGACAAAGATCCCCCGTATAGCCTTAACAGACTGTAGGGGCAAGTGCTGTTGGCGAGCACCTATGAAGGCCGGAACGGTACACGAGGGGGTGGGTGGCCAGCACCACGCCCGACCGCCTTAGTCTCCCCAGTGGCAATGTTTTTACCCACCGCACCAGGTACTCGTTTGAGGCTGAGTCGACCTAGGGAAGGCCCAGGACCGGTTCAGATAATCGTCACTGGTGTTGGCCGTGAGCGGGAATCGAACCCGGGTCGTCAGGTTCATAGCGCAGCGCGCTAACCGCTACACTACCGGAATATAAGACGCCCCTCCCCAAAGTTTGCTTGAAATTACAGGGGGACCCCCCCCCCCAACACTTGTCTTACAATCCGCGGCCGACGCTACCACAAATGCGCGTTCCATACCTCACGAGTCTTCCTTTCCACCCCCACAACGTTTCACGCTCGGTCGCCGTGTCGCATTCTAATCCTCTCTCACTCCCGCGACTCAAACCGGCTTGGACAGCCGAGTAACACCGAACGAGACCACACGGCACCGCCTATTGGGGGCTGGTTTTCTCGATACCCGGGAGGTTTCCGCAACCGCTAAATATTCATGGGTCTTCCTTCGGATCGTCCGCGGTTACCTCGTTAGTTACCGTGGCCGTGGTAACATCTTCCCCTTACCCCATGAGGGGTGGTGCTAGGCAAAAGCACCTCCCCCCCCCCCAAATAAACACAACAGTGTTAGGACCCCGCCAGATGCTCAAGGGGGCCCTAGATTCTCATCTCTGTTCTGTGCGCATCTTGCCCCATCCACTGGTGGCTAAAACGTCTCTCTACCCTCCCATCCACGCTGTAACACTCATGGGGAGGTGGGTTTAACCATACTTCACCACAACGAAGAGTGTGGGGCAGAGGAGGGAAGGGTGAGCCCAGGACCGGTTCCGATATCGCTTGTTAGGAATTAAATTGAGATCGCCACGTTGCTCGCTCGAGGAGGTGAACCAATTTTTTGCCACCACTCACTCCATGCAACAAATAAATACAGGTTTCTCTCGCGTTGTGCGGTAGCAGATGCGTTCTAAAAAAAACAAAAGGCGGCGCAAAGCGAAACTGCACGAGACAGCTACCTGCCAAGTAGCGCATACAGTACACACACGCACACAATGTTGCCCCAAGTGCGACCGTATAGCCGCACAAGTGAATTCAAGCGAATTTTGAGTTAGAAATAAGCGAAATCGCACAAACCGAACCCGCACGATGAGCGGGAAACCTGTACAATGAAATCAGTTCTTACAAAAGCTGCACGCATTACAAGCAGCATGTGCGAAATGAGTGTTATTTACCCCCCTAGGCTTTACTGAGAAAATAAAAAAAATCTCAAGACTGCCTGAAAATAAATGTTTTGATAAATATTTATAGTTGTTAAATGTGCACCACTGCCAACACAGCATCACCAAATCGTTTGCCAAACGAAGTAAAGTCACGTCCAATGAATGAGTGCAACTTCACAAGATGGTGCTCGTTTTATTGACCCTAGAAAGATGATGATGATGGGACTGATTGTACCGTGGCCATGTATTTAACCCATGCGCTCATCATCATCATCGCTTAATTATCTACACGGCGCCCTGTCATGCAGTACATATATGAACGGTGAACTTCTTTCGCACCGTGCGTAGTCAACCGTGCTAATCGGAGGTACATCGAGACACACTAATGCAGGAGACCTTCAGTGGCAACTGTCCCTATGGGGCACAAAGTCAGAATCAAAAGGTGCATTTATACCTGGAGGAATTCGATGAGCTATGAAGCTCTTTTCCACAGATGTCCAGGAAGCGAAACGAGGCAACACATTTCCATGCACAGCACACTCGGCACAAACATTAGCCAGAGGAAATACGAAGGTACGATCGTGAAATTATTTATTCACATTCAGCCCTCGCATTAATTGATGTATCAGCTTCCTTCACGCGTTGAATGGCGCACAAAAAAAAGTTAAGTTTCGATTTGAAGCTTTCGTGACTGCAGGGATTCATATTCTTGGTTCTTTCGGTAAAGTCACGTAAAAGGGAAATAAAAAAAAAATAATTTCTTGCTGTGGTTTTCACACCTGATGATGATTGCTTGCGTTACAATCGAAACGTCGTGAGAATTGTATTGTTTATATTTGTATTATTTTATTATTTCCCTTCTACGTGACTTTACCGAAAGAAACAAGAATATAAAGTTCAGTTTGGTGATTTGTCCCCCCCCCCCCCCCCAAGTGCACTATGACGACATGAGACGGACGATTGCCAACACCGGCAGACAAAACATTGCATGCCTGAACAATGCGACGAGATCCACGGACAGGACATTACCGCTGACGAGCGCAGAGGCCAGATGGACGCGCGAGGTCCACCCCACCAGTGCCCCCGTTTGAGACGGGGTCATTCCAAGGACGGTGATCCGCAAAGCATTTCTGCACCGCTGCACACCACAGCCACTGAGTGTACCTCTCGCTATGGCTGTGACTGATAGTCACGTACCACCACCGACTGCAGTCTACCAGCGACCCGAAGCAATGTTACGCACCCGGCATACCACGACCAGCATTACCCCCCCCCCCCCGCTATGGCTACTAGTAGTTACGCGTCACCGAAGCCAGTTGTTACCTGCAACCCGAAACATCTTTACGCACCTGGCATACCACATCCAGTGTACATCTCGCCACGGCTGTCTCGTCACGCGCCTCCTAGTCAAGTCGACCAGCGACCCGGACATTATTCCGCGAGAACTTATCACTCCGGAGGTTCCCGTTGGTTGAGACCGCAACAAAGGTCGCAGCCACTGCAAACTTTACACAGCGAGCGCACACGCGCAGGGACTAGCGGTGCGATTTGTTGATTTAAGCTAATCGGAGCCGGTCCACGCAATAATAACAAAGAAATGAATTTCGTGCAACTACAAAACGTATGGTATTCGTGCAGCGCCGTCTCGGGGTGCTCGGTGGAAAGTTGCCATTGGTTTTGGAACAGGCGTCGGCCACATCGAAGATGTGAAAGCGCAACAGGGCATCAATGAGACCAACGTGGGCCCAACGCGAATCTCTCGAGCTGGGAGCTGTACGGATCCAGTTTGCGGGAAAAGGTGCGAGTCAAATTAATTGACCTCGTTTGCAACACTCGCGTGGCGAGTTACGCATCATACATTTGTTTTACAAATATAATCACGTATTATATACATTTGCGACGAACTCGAACTCGTACCCACAGTGGGGGGGGGGGGGGGTCCTTGCCTGTAACATCCGGCAGTTACACCAGCACTGATTAAAGGAGGCCTGACCGCTGATGAGGAGACGTTGTTCGCATATCTATTTTGTCATTTGCAATATGCAGTAACCATGGGACTATTTGAAGTCCCTAGTTTAGTTGCATCCGATGAACCGAGCGCCCTGGCAATGTGCAAGGTCAAGGGAGAACAAGGCAGCTAAGCAGGTACAGAAAAGAACTGCCAGTGCTGCCAAATAAATTGCTAAACTGTACGCCCGATGTACCGACCCATACTGACCACCATGGTGAAGTATGGTCAAACTAATTCTCAACACACTCGCACAGCGTGGGGAGGCTCTCATCCGGCAGTGGATGGCAAGGGACACAGTCGCTGTGCACGTACAATGTAGTCGATGGTGAATATTTGAATCGCGACGCTTTTGGTTATGTCACGGGCACACAACAAAAACAGCATTGTCTAGCCATTGGCGTTATATGGCCGATGACGTCAAATTCACAGAGTTTTATAGGTTTGCGGCCGGAACTAGACTGTGGACGCTATACAAGCGGCAGCACCTATATACAGTATAAAGCAATCATTTTACTAGTAGGAACCTACTGGTTACACCAGCCCACAGGGGATTATTGTGTCCGTCCGTCCGTTGTGCATCCAACAATTGGAGGGGTGGGGCTGGGTGGAGAGGGGAGGGTGGGGAGGGGCTGGGTGGGGAGGGGAGGGTGGGGAGGGGCTGGGTGTGGGGAGTGGGGCAGGGTGGGGAGGGTAGGGAGGGGCTGGGTGGGGAGTGGGTAGGGGCTGGGTGGGGGGGCTGGGGCTGGGGAGGGAGGGGCTGGTCACCCCGTGGTGCCCTTATAAAACTCAACCTTTAACCTACTCACGCCGGCTTGTGCCCGCCCTCACAGTCGGGCATATTTGCGGAATACACCACGTGGTGGTGCCGCCGTTCACCCTGGCCATTGACCGAGCAACCAACGTTCCTACCAGCTCCCTCCGCAGGAATGTGTTGAATAGACGTTCTGTGTCGACTACAAATCTGAGTGCCCCCACCACCTTCCTTCCTAGTTCCCTCTGTAAGATTGGGAGCCGTTCCTTTCGCGACGTTCAACAGACGATTGCTTGCGTTGCGATCGAAACGTCGTGATTTAGATTTTTTTTTTTCTATCTCCGTGGCTTTACCGAAAGACCCAAATAATATGAATTACTGCAGTCACGAAAGCTTTAAGTCAAGAATAAGAATATTCAAGAGCCTGTTGAGAAGGACGTAATGACGGAAGCGGAGACGCTGGGGCCCCAACACCTCAACGGGTCACCACTTCCCTCCCCCCCCCTAAGCAAAGCGCGATCCACATCGCGCGATTTGATCATCGCCTGCAACGGCTTTGTCCACCACCTGATCGAGTTGTTGCGCCACGTCGTGGCACGAGCGAGTCGGGGCTTGCGCTTTCACAGCATCGGCGTCGCCGGCCAAATATTCTGGACAATTATCCACCCCCACCGCCGCCGCCGCCTCCAACCGCGAGTTTTTGCAAAAATGTGTCGCTCATGAATGGCCGCGGCTCGAGTCGAGTCCGTCCCTACCACAAGCAACCGGCTGCAACCGTGTATAAAGCGACTTGGTTGCACGCAACCAATCGCTGGGGGGTGTGGAGCCGCTTCAAAAAATTATTACAAGGCAGTGGGGTCCATAATGTAGGTTTTTTTTTTGGTTAGATCGCGTAGACAGAGAGGGGGGGGGGTATCTGTTAATGGATCGCAGTGCATTTTGCGACGGCGATCGATCTGTGGATCGCAGTGCATTTTGCAACGGTGATCGAAGCAGTGAATATCAAAGCGCTTGTTCAGAGGTCTTGCGGTCGGTCGGTGGATCGGTGGCCATCCAACGTGGCGCTGTGTGGGGGAGGGAGCCCGTGGCATTGGTTGCGGGCGGTTCGAATGAAGGCGGCTTCAAAACTTTCCGTGGAAAATCGCAGACGCGAGAGGCAACGCACAGCGACGCGCGCCGTGCCACGATACAATGAAAACGCATTTGAAGGAACGCGGTAACAAAAAGAGCAGTTGACGATCAGGTGATTAAAAAAAGAAAATCACACATTTTGAAACAGCATTCAGGCTACGAGTTTTGTTGTTGTCGATTTTTTGTTGTTTTTTATGCGAACGTTGACAACTTTACAGCATTTAAAAAAATAAACGTACTACCAACGTCCCAAAAGATCCCATCTGGAATAGTGTGTTGTGTACATATACAGCATCATATATACGAACAACACTCGAGTTATATATACTGGCGACTACATGAACACAAGGGGGCGACCCAAATTGTTTGAGAACGAGAAAAGAAAGTCTTTACAACGTTCATTAGTTCGTCACATTCATCACCGACACCAATTCGTTGAACACACGGTATAAAGTTAAGCTTCAAAATAAGCTGAACGTTAGCCGATGCGACTTCGCAATTCTCAAATCATTCCAACCTCCTCCGGCATATATCAAAATAAAGCATTTTACTGGACTCCATTGTCGTGTATGCATTTCAAGAACGTGTTACATCTTGATTCAATCAGACCGTGTGCTTATTTGTCCGAACTCCGTTGTATGTATACACACGCATGTATGTCTTTAAGACGTCCTCCATACGCAGAGTATGCAATCGCGCATGCGCCTGACGGCAGTGTAGGGACTCGAACTAATGCCACCCCCGGACGAATTTGTACACAACGGGCTGCGATTGAGGCCTTCGGGGCAGCAAGTGTCCATCAATGAGACGTTACAGAGGCAAAACATGAAACACCATAGATCAATGTGTGAGCGGTTTAGAAATATTTCTCCTCCAATTATGTTGTCATTGTGCTTCTGGAGCCACGTCACCAGATGCCAGAGCAACTGCATTGCTAATTTAGACACCCTTTGAAAATAACATCGCTGACCCTACCTCTGAAGTCACTTACAATAGGCCTCTTTATTCACACGGAGGGCTCATTCTCTATATGCGCTGCCAAGATTATTCACCACGTCAACCCGTTGGGATGATCCTTGGATGAAATGCGCCTTACAAATGTCAATTATTATTAAAACATTTTTTTATTCATCAGATAGAACTCAAAACAAATTCGGAGTTACGTTTTTTTGGTGCTACCATTTGAAGACCAGGCTGAGGCCATCAAATTGCTAATCTTGACGGCGGTTTAATCACGAGCGACCGAAACCTGGAATCAAACGCAGAATATTCTCGGGCAGTTGGCGGATAAGCATCTCCGACCCCTAAACAGACACAGGCATTTACTAAAATAACAGCCAGAGCTGAGCTTTTTTCCCAACTTAAAAAGCCTTTATTTCGAGAAGATTCACCGTCACTTTTTTGCAAGGAAAACCTCAGTATCCATAGGTACCGCGGCATATTGTATAACATTTATTTTGGAACGTGAAATAAAAAATGGCACAACGGTTTGCTCTTGTGAGTGACATCGTCGCAGACTCTTTGCGGTCGCTTTTAAGGGGCGAGGGGCATCTGGGAATAGCAACACCCCTACTCGGGTGAAGAGTGTGGCTCTCCCTCCCCTCTTGGCAACAGCCGTATTAAAATTCGACTGGTAAGCACACAGCAATACCACAGACGTTTCGCTGCAACATGTATGCACGTTGAACTTCTTTTGCACCGTACACAGCCAACCGTGCTAATTGGGAGAAAGTTTTGCAGCAGCCCCGTCAATTGCAGATGTATCGAACCATTAAAAACCTCTTAGGTAATTGTTCCATATTGGTATATAATAATCTGTTAGCCAATGCATAAGAAGTGTTTGTTTCAAAAGTACTGTAATCTTACGCTACTCTTTTACGATAAGGCTACATCACCAACGGCTCGAATCTCGCAGTGGATGTGATGACATACACGCTGACGACAGACACAGCACCCAAAGGCCAAAGTGTAAAGTGAAGAAAAAAAGGCAAACGATATGCCTGAAACCGAGCACCATATTTGTACGATTTGTATATTTGAAAAAACCAAGGACCTTTACAAACTGGAGCCTTGCATCGCCACGACAGCAGGTAAGGTGCCTGCATTGGTAGAGACGCGACTCTTGATACAATTGTCACATTGGGTCTGCAAGTTGGTACGTCTCATGATTGTTAATGGTTAAAATAAAAGGAATTGGGCAGACAGCGTTCAAAGATGAACACTTGCCATTTTGCGAGCCGAAGCTCGCGCATGCCAGTCCGTTAAAACATTGTAGCAGGTGAGCTTTGTTGAGCTTTCACCCCGTGTACACAAACAGCCAACAAATCACATCACCCGATTGCACCGGTGCCCCGAGATGACCGACAACGCGGTGCCACAAAAAGGGCAAACCGCAATAATCATTAACGTAAAAAGGCAATAAAAAAAAGTCAGTTGTGAAAAATTGCTCGACGAAGTGACATCGTCTTAGCACCCGCCACGAGGCGGCGGAAAATTGAGAGTGGGATAACACGGGTTTCTCTGCCGTGAAAACCTGGCCGTTGTCCTCGGCATGACTTGACGGCAAGGATAATTGCCACTGCGGGCGTGAACCGGTATGGACAGTCAACGCGGCTGCACTGGAGTCAGAATGTCGACGCGCTCATAGTACAACGGAGTGGGGGGGGGGGTGAACAATGGTCTCACAAACACGGTTTCGATCAACGGAAACGTTCAGACTTCCGCCTAGTTTGTTGGCGCGTGTATATATTTGTTTAATTAGTATAATTACCATTTAATTGTATGTATATTACAGAAAAAACTCTTTAATATAGTCATCCAAAGATATGAGTATAAATTGTAAGACGTTCACAAATTAAGCAGTTTGTAGAGACGACTGGTGGTTTTTTTTAGGTAGTCAAACTGTGGTTCATGGCTGTGAAGAGAATAAAAAATGAACACCAATCCCTTAAAAGCATCTCAAAATTTAAGCCAAAAATGTATATTTGTTAAATTACTGGCCAAGTGTGCCGCGGCGACCAGACAAAAAAAAAAGAGCACGCTAAAAATGCCTCCAGAACACCTTCGGTGGCTGGTGACGGAGCCCTGCGACGGCTGTAGCTACACCTTTAGCAGATATCCAAAACACCGCCCCCCCACTACCACCGCCACCACCACCACCCAGGCCCGCCTCTACCCGCTGCCCCCATTTCAAGTCCAAACTTCAGTAACGTCTTCGGTTAAACAAAAAAATATATAATTTCTATCGTTTAAAAAAAGACGTCGATCGACAGCCATAGATACAAATATATTCTCTTATTTCTTCTTCTTAAACGCAACGGCCGAACGAACGGCCTTAAGAATGCCGAAGCCACACGCAGCTAAAGAGCGTTAAACCTGCGTTCACTTTGGGCGAAATATTCCAATGCGCGCCGCTTATTTTCAGCCAAAGGTTTCTCCAGCAGACAAAAGCCCAGCACACGGGGCCAGACCGGCACCTACAATTCTCATCCCTCTTTAAGAAACGTGAATTACTTCCCAAAAACAAAAAGTGCTTCCTCCGATTGTAAATGCAAGGGTGCACGCGCACACACACACGCACGCACGCACACACTCACACACTCACACACACGCTCGCACACGCACACACACACGCACACACTCACACGCTCACACACACGCTCGCACACACACACACGCACGCACGCAGAGCAGCATTAATTTTACACCAGCGGTGCCCAATGTGATTCTACGACGCCTACACAGTTCGTCAGCACAAAAATTAAGAGAGCGTTGTTCTCCACGCTCGTCCAAGCCGCGACCGCGCTTCCCCCCGTTGTGGGGGCAGAGTGACGCCCTCCACGTGTGCAGGGCCCTCTCCGCGGGGGATTCTCTGTGGAGCTCCTCTGCGGGATCTTCTCCGCGGCGTTTTTCCGCGGAAGTTTCTCTGCGGAGTTTCTCCACGGGATTTTCCCGCGGGGGGGGGGTTTCTCCGCGGGGTTGTCCCCGCGGCGTTACAGCAGCGAGTCGTCAGAACAGCCCCCGCCCAGCGTATAGCGGAACTCCTGCAGGTTCGACACGCCGTGGAAGTGCACGAAGGCCGCCGCCACCACCAGGACGTGGAATATTTGGTGCGAGTGGAACTGTGGGGGGCGGGGGGCGGCATGGAATTAAAGAGGGAAAGTGGCGTACACGTTTAATAAATAACAGCAATCGTCATCGTCGTCGTCGTCATCGTCATCACTGTTATCAATGTTATCTGATAATGATTATCATCTTAATCTTAAACACAATTGTTTTTTTTTATCAATGTTTAAAGCAATGACTTGTGATAATCTTCAGCACAACTGTTATTGATGACTAGTAATGTCTTGGCTGTTACGGAGTGCTTTTGACTCACAGTTGTATGTATGCTGAACTTCTTTCGCACCGTACATAACCAACATTGCCAATCAGAGGTGCGGGCAGAATGGCACGGACAAAGCGATACCAGCGACAGATCAATGCAGCATTCATAGCTTTCAGTATGTTCAATAAAAATCAACGTTGTGTATGTACACGTACAGCCCTTTGTCAATCCGCTACTGGAACACTGCCTCCCCACCACCGTGTCAATCTTGGGGCTTAGTTCACCATACTTCGCCACGCTGTTCAGCGAGAGCTGGTGAAGGAAGGGGAGGGGGGGGGCACAGCCCGCAGTACGACGATTCGATTTCGCCGCACTGCCCGCTGCTGGCAGCATCACGGACTCCCAGCCGCGCACGCCATCACGACCGTCAAAGAGGTCGCCGCCGATGGGCCGGTGATGATAGCGGGTAGTGGGTGGCGGTAGTGCATCGTGCGTGTGTGCGTGCGTACGGACCCATATGTCACACTTTCCCGGGAAGAACCGCTCGGGTATGCGCGCGGCGTAGAGTGCCGCGCCCGTGATGTACAGCACCGCCATGAGGAAGAGCCAGCCGATCTGGCCCACCGTGGCCGCCTTGATGAAGCCCTCGGCGATCATGAAGTGTATCGTCGGCACGATGCCGCTCAAGCCCAGGCCCAGGAACACACCTGGGGGGAGGGTGGGAAGGAGGAGGAAGACGAGGAAAACGGGTCAAGTTTGGGAGCGCGCACGCTCACGTCTGGATGCGAGCGTGTAGCTGCAACCACTTTACGATGTCAGCGGAAGAGCCCAGCCCCCGCTCTCTCTTGGCATAACATTCCCAGCGGACGTCCCCTTCCCATTTCTAACTCTGGACAGGAGCTGTCAAATCTTGCCAGTTGTCCACTATACAACCGAGCCAGGCCAGGAAGCGTCAGGTTGTGTTTCCACTGCCAAATCTGAGCCGAGTTGTCACACAACTGTAGTGAGCCCAAAGACGAGGGAGAGCCGATACTTGAGGCAACAAATAACTCAAGACAAGGTCCCTAACACAAAGGGGTAACGGCCCCTTACATCCGCTACCTGGGGAGGTATGGCCTCCGGGCTATCGTGCCTCCTAACACTGGGGACCACTCTACACTCAGCCCTCCGACTAGGGGCCCTAGGGGATTCTATCCTGACTCGACCCAGCCAAGGTCCTCGGGTCCCAGCCAGTGGCCCACTCAGTCCTGGCCCTTACAAGGGCATCGGGTCTGGGGGTACCCAGGGTCCGACCACTGTCCCACCTCAGTCCCGGTCCTTAGAAGGACAGCGGGACTGGGGGTCCCAGGGTCCTACTCTAAGCTCCGTCTTCTGTCTTCGGCTTGAGGACGACTGCCGGACCCGTTCAAGGGTCCGGCTTTTATAACCCTCCAGGGTCTCTCCGCCCCTGGCCACGCCTCCCTTCCAGAATGTTCTAGGGGATCCTGGAATATTCACCCAGCCCCCCTCCTGGGGCCTGGGGAACTCTAGCGGCCCACATACCACCCCCTGCTGATGTATGTCTGCTACTGCAGGTAAGTTGCCACTTCATGGCGCTACACAACCATCGAGTTGAGACGTATGTAGACTACGGGGTGCCGCTGTGCTTGAGTTGTACTGACTGACGTCACGAGCAATGAACGAGTCAGGAGTACTGCCACCGCCCCTGGCCCTGCTTGGCCCCTGAGCCAGATTCAAATGTCTTCTGGTTAACACAATGTAACACGGTTGGGTTCTGGTTCAGCTCTGCAAATATCCCAGTGGAAAACCACCCCTCTAATGTGAGGGTGCCGTGCCGGTTTGGTTCAAATGTACCAGTGGACAAGGGACATCTGATGCAGCCAGGTCACGGGTTGTCCCTTTATAACGTCGACCACCTACCCGGTGCTCCAGCAGAGTGCGCGAGTGCAGACTGGTGTGACCGTTGTTTGCTAGCAGAGTACCTGGTGGGTGGAGGAAGAGTTGAAGGGCCAACTTCAGTAAATATCCCATGTGTCTTGAAATTCAGCATCAACGTTTTAGCTCGAACTTTTGCTCAATGTTTTGCAGTGATTATTGCCACGCACTGTGACCCTACAATGGCATTCTCATTCAGAACTGATGCTGCTCCTCTATACATCGAGGAAGTGAAATTGGAATGTTGCACAACCCGCTGCAGTAGAGCACGCAGAACAATAGGGCGCACTAGAGAAACGCGTTTCCCGCACCTCCGACTAAACACGGTTGGCTACATACAGTGCGAAATAAGTTCAACACGCATTCATATGTTTCAGGATATCTTTGAATCACAGCTCATCTTGATAATGATGTGCATTTCAGTTCATGGCATGTGCACGCTTTCAACGTGAAATATATGAAGCGTAGACTTTTCACAAGGCTCACAAAGTACCGTAAATTTTATACCCACACAATCCTGTGTGCCAAAGGCTTTGGTTGTGCTGCTTGTCACGCCCAGGTGGATTGTTTCCAAAGCGTTGCACCTGTTCTGGCATTATTCGTGTAAATAATGTATTTTTTTTGCTCTAGTTAGTTTTCACATTCCCAACCTGCAACTGCTGTCACTTCTGAAGGTGTTGGGCTGCAGTCGACCTTTCAATAGAGCTGCTTAGCTCAATAGGAACATATCAGTTAAAATAAAGTCTGAGTGTTTTGAAGAATGTATAAAATGAATTCGCAGGCTGGGCTGTTAAATGAATTACGCAACCAATAAGACAAACAGCGGCTCTTATCTTGTAGGTACACACCGATGCTATAGGCGTAGGCGAATTGGGCAGGTACTTGAAGCTACTTTGATGAGAAAAAAAAGATCAGAAAAAAATACTTCACATGGGTGGCGGCCAGGCACTACGTTAAACGCTCTAATGTCACAACATTCATGTGTAAACACGAGTGGGGATTACATCGTAATGTATAAACATTCGTCGGAATGATATCTTAGTCTTACTTAGAGTGCATAGAATGCTTCAGACGAAACAAGAAGACAGTGTGTGGCCAAACAATGCCACATTCAAGCCCGACTGCCCACACTTGCTAAACCAGTGTTGCTCAACTCCAGTCGTCGTTCGTGACTGCCCACAGGGCAGCTCTCTGCGATTGCCACCCATCAGGTGCATGGAGTCAGTGTACGGTGAGTAAATTTGCAGATGGACATAAAAGTCTGGTAATGGAGAAATGACAGACTGTGGGGAATCGCGAGGACTGGAGTTCAGCAATTTGTGCCAATAAAGACATTGAAGTAGCGAAATATTCACATTCATCAACAGCGCTGCCTTAAGAGGAAATGTATAGAACGGGCGGCCTTGGGAGGAATTGGCATTTTTTCATGGCACACAAGAGCACAAAATAAGGGCCCATTGCCCGAAACGTCACCTGTTATACATTTGTCCCCTTTTAAGGCCACGGTGTTATTGACGAACCTGTTGGGGAGTTAATTTGCTACGCGTCCTTGTACCACTGCCAACGCTGCATCGCGAAACCATTCGTTTCAGTTTAACACGCTGAAGGGCTTTTCGCGACCGATGTTATCCACAAGAGTTTTTTGTGGGTTAGATCGCGTAAATACATGTCGTTAAACCCGGCGCCACCCGACACAGCCAAATCGTCGTACTCAAATTGTAAAAATGTTGTGGGTTTACTCTCCAACACAGCTGTGTGCTGAACTAGTAACGAATTGGCATGTTGTGTTTACGCGACAAACCTTACTAATTGGCTGTGTCGGGTGGTGGCGGGGTTAATGACCCATTTATATTTACGCAATCTTAACAAACCCCCCCCCTCTATTATGCACAAATCGTTTCATTTCAAGCGATCAGGTTGGCAGTCCCCCCCCACCCGGGTGGTGGCGTCACCCAGGGATTGCGGCTAGGTGGCGCTAGACCACTCTCCAATGCCGCTCTTGGTGGCGTGGCTGGCGCAAGTGTGGGCGGCAAATGGGACTGCACCGCAAGACAATATCACCTATCACGTGGCACCATGCATGATGTCTAAAACCAACGGACGGGCTCAGCTAACACTGAACATTTTATCCTAATTATAGACCAATTTTGTGCTATCGGAGTCGTGTCGTGCATTGGAGAAATAATAGAAAACAAATGTACAGGCCATTGTCAATACACTGCTGGATGAAGGCCTCCCCCTAAACCAATTCGGCCATGGTGGTTATATGACCATACTTCACCAACGCCGAACATGGTCCTTTTTAGCGCTGTTTTCTTTTCCCCCCTTTATAAGTTTCGGGCAACCCTTTGTATGCATGTATGTAGAACTTCTTTCACACCGTAGGTAGCCAACTATGCTAACCCTTTGATGTCTTTGGCCAAATTTCCAGAGTGAGTTCCCGGTAGGAACACAAATTTACACTTCAGTTTGTTCCTTTTGGATCATGTTTGCAACAGCTATCCTGCCCCCCCCGGCCGTCACAGATGGACAAAGCTAACGAAGCACAAAAGCTCTCAACAGTAGTGGAGGAGCATCAACAAACTAACGGAAGGACGAGCACAGGATGGGTTTCAGTTCAGTAGTTCAGCACTTTTGGAATTTGGCAGTCCAGGGGGGTTCAGGAGTTTGGCAGCTCAGGGGGCTCAGCAGTTCAGATGTTTTGCGGTTCAGCGGTTCACGTGTTCGGGGGTTTGTGGGAATCGGGTGCGGAGGCGAGCCGAGCCACGTACCGGCACGCACGGCCCGGTACTCGGGCGTGGCGAAGCGATCCCACTGTGACACGACAATGGCCGCGACGCCCAGCACGCTCGTCGTCACCATGTAGATGATGCGCGGCTGGGGCGAGCAGTAGAACGAGTAGTAGAGCCACGGGACGAAGCTGCCCATGATGAGCAGCGCGATGCCCGAGTAGTCGAGCCTGCGCCACGGGGAGGGGAGAGAGCAGAGAGAGAGAGAGAGCGGAGAGGGGAGTGTGTGAGCACTGCCAAGCTTCACGAACGGCGGGCGAATTTGCGCTCGGCTGCTGTGGCGAGTGCAACGGTCAAGCAAAAGCATACGAGGCTGTTAATGACGATATTGGTAATAATATCGCGTCGCTGCGAGCGTTCGTGCGTCCGAATTTGAAACCGCCGACGCTTACACTGAAATGTGTTCGAATGTCAATTCAACGTTGAGTGAACGTCAGGCACTAGTCGGCCATGAACGCTGTTGCATTGACAGCAGGTGACACGTCAAAACTGTGAATGTAAAGCCGCAATTGAAGTGTGTCCAGGAGAAACACGATAACCCATGCATGTGCTTATAAAATAACCAACGCAGTCCACTTTTGATAGATTGTAATGTATCATCTCTGGAGATATGGCTGCACGATAAACTGAATAAAAGTGGAGTTAATCTGCCTTTTCTCAACAAAAGACCGCAATGTTCTGTACAGTGACAATTTATGGGTTATGGAGTTTTCCCAGAGGACACTCATCAAATGATAGAACGTCAAATTGTAAACTAATACTCAAAATTTTTTGAAAACTGTGTGCGTCATATTTCAAAACTTTTGAAATAGACTCAAAATGGCTGTTAACGACTGCACATCAGTTTGAATTTCCTCAGCGGTTTCAAGCCACCGAGCTCCATAAAACATTATCTCAAACTTAGATAGTTCCGCATCACATCCTCTCTGAAGGAGGACCGCTGCCCCAACAGTCGGCCTAATATCTACACGGGTCGTCTCTGACGGTCAGAATTACCATGATCCACATTCACAATGTGTATACAATGCCACCATGGATCGATTAATGATGCAGAAACTTGACTTACGACATCTTTCGACGTGACATTTGAACAGAGTTGGTCTGGTTGCTGACGTGACTTGGCGTGGAGATTTTGATATTCTGAAGCGTTTGTGTGGCTGCTTACCCATTAAACCCTGTTAAATATGGCTAATAAAAGTAAAAAAACTGAAACCATTTTGACTGCAGGTATTGTGGTTAATGCAGTAACATGAATCCGTGTAAAAAGGTTTCAGTTTTGTTGCCAGAAAAAAGGGGAAAAACCCTATTATTACATTTTGGTACTGGCAAAGGAGGTCTAATGATGTAGATGCTCACCCCAAGCCCTCATTACTTTGATAGTGCATTGTCTTTGAGCTGTATGCCTTTTGGCGTCATATGGTCGAGCACCAATTGGGTCGAGGCTCAAAAGAAAGCCGTCCCTTGGTGTGGACCAATCAGTTTCAAGGACAATGCATATATTATCAAAGTATGTTATTTGTTTGCATTTTGACTGCAGGTATTGTGGTTAATGCAGACATGAATCCTCGTAAAAAGGTTTCAGTTTTGTTGCCAGAAGAAAAAGGGGAAAAACCCTATTATTACATTTTGGTACTGACAAAGGAGATCTAATGATGTTTCTACCGTTTCTACTGTCAATGGAGAAATAGGGTCCGATTTAACATGATCTGACTTATGACCGTGTTTCCAGGAACGCATTGTGTCTAAAAGTGGGGACGGTCTGTATGTTTCTGTCATAAGGCATGCTTGTTTAAAAATAAATAAATTTACATTTGTACACCACTTTCCAACAGTCCCTTAACTTTTTATACGCTGGCTTTGTCTTTTATAAAAGGCTGTCTTTGTTCGAAGGTCGCATTTGTTCATATGAGCATCGTCATCATCATCGTCATCATGTTTTACAATCTACTTATATTTTTTTAGAAGGCCCATAATAGGCTGACGGACCACAATGTTACTTGAATTCAGTGTCACGTATCATACATTACCCTTTGCTTATTTATTATTTTATCACACACAAACCACCAAGACAGCATACGATGTGTTGTTCGACATTCGCTTGAATGACCTGGAACATACCAGCGCACATGTCCAGTGGCTATATTGCGAATGGAATGAGCGACGCACGGAGGTCAGTGTGTTTTGCAGAACAACACACTCCTAATGTTGAAAGTGTTTACATTCTTGAGGAGCGCGTCGAAGGCTTCCAACAGGTATCCTCATGGTGGGCAAAATTGGAAGCGCTATCTTTACATAAGAAGTCTAGCCATGTAATAGAAGAGCACTGTCAAGAAAATTAGGTTCGGATGCGCGCTGCCATTAATGGTTAGCACACAGGACTTGCCACCCAGAGATCGCTGGTTCGATCTACCCATCGTGACAGCTCAAATAAATGGGCACATTTCTTAAAACTTCCCCGGCGTCTGTCCACTCGGCAGTATGAATGGGCACACGACGGTTAGTCGATCGGCAGGTCGTGTGTGTTCGGATACAGTGTGGGTAACTCTCACCTCTTCCAAGACAGTCTGGCTAGTGTGGAAGAGCGAGATAAAAAAAAATACCCACGAAAGGGGTTCTCTCCTCTTGTGGAGGAGGCCCTTCTGTCAGCAATGGAGCAAGCAAGAAATGGCAGGGCTGCACCTTTAACCATACCCAAGTGTAAAGTATGGTTAATTAAAACAAGAATCCCGGTATTAAAAAAAAACGGCCAGACCATCAAATTACATACCTCGTTCGCGAGCATACTCATGCCCAAATTGGACCGTACACGCCGCAGTGAGACTTTGCATTTTGCACGAAAATATTTTGGCAGGGGCAAACCAAAGACGCATTTGGTTCCATCAGAGAGCACCGGCAAGAGTGAACGGTGAGGTCAATTTTCATCAAGCTTCCTCTGACACCATTCATTCATCAGGGGACATCACTGTGGGAGCATTACCAAATTAAAAATCAACATCTGTCGGGCGACAACGTGCATTCCTTGAACCACGTGACCTCCAGTGAAAGGGTCAATTAATATTTTAACCCGGTAACATGCGCCCCCCCCCCCCCCCACATTTTTGTTATCATACCTCTGCCATGTAAATGTTGCAAGGCTTTTTGCTACACGTGTGTGTATATTGCAGAGAGCGGTAGTGTAGTGGTTAGCACATTGCGCTATGAACCCGGCGACCAGAGTTTAATTCCCGCTCCCCTAGGTCGACTCAGCCTAAAATGAGTACCTGGTGCGCTATGAGGGGGACAAAGGCAGCCGTGCCGGCCTTTATAGGTGCTCGCCAACAGCACTTGCCCCAAACAGTATGTCGAGGCTACATGGGAGATCTTGTCTTTGTCATATATATAAAAACATGAGCGTAAAAATTATGGAGAGAAAATTACAGCTAAGAATTGTATTGGAGAACACGAGCTTTGTTAATCAGCTGGGGTATGCGAAGATGAATACTAACTGAACGCATTGTGTTTTAATGCTCCCATAAAAAGACAGCAGTTGTTCAATTACCTCACGCGGCAGGCAAAAAAATACCGCCACCATCGAGCAAGCCAAGAGATGAAGAAATGCACCACGGGGGTGGCGAAAACCTTCACCTTGGAACTAAACGTCTTAACCACCCAACACCGTAGGCAGACTTGAGACGCAGTCGATAAAAAAATAAAACAGTCGAGGGCAGATGGGCTTTTGTGAAGCCAGAAATACAACGAGCGGGAGGTGCTATGTTACACGTGACCAAGGGTCCGTCTGAGCCAATATGAACAAGCACACGGCGCACAGCTAATGGCATGGCACACAGCTAATGGCGTGGGCTATGACCTGCGCTCCGTAATGTTTTAACCTGCCAGAGGCGAGCCAAAGATTATTTAACATACCTGCCCTCCCACAAGCCGGGACCGCCGGGAAAGTTAATGATCCACTGCTTTCATCGGTTAAAATCGACTCTGGCTGCGCTCACGATGACGCACGCATCGAATTTGCGAGTGCGTGTAAGGAATGTACTATTTTGGTTTTCGCGCAAAGTTAGTATACCGACAGGAATGGACGTGGTCGAATCTTCGAACCGATTTAGTAGAACGGAGACAGGGGGGGGAACGAATAAGACACCGAGCGGGGATGAGACAGGAGACGGGCAGCACAGATGACACGGAAGGTCACGATAGATAGGACAACTGAGCCTATATGAACGATACACACTACAAATAAGAAACAGACCAGGCAAATGAAAAAGTTTCAACGAGACAGACTATACAAATGAGGCAAAGAGCACGGTGGACGAGAGAAAGACAACGCAAACAATGTGGTAGAAACGAGACCATCTCTTGAATTGGACCGTGACCCTGAAACGTGCTTGAGGGAAGGTCAGCTGAATCAAATCATAACCACACAATGACGATTCATCATCCACCTCTTCATCTGCAATACAATGAATTGTACACATATACAGTGAGGGAAAAAAGTATTTGATCCCCTGCTGATTGTGTACGTTTGCCCACTGACAAGGAAATGATCAGTCTATAATTTTAATGGTAGGTTTATTTGAACAGTGAGAGACAGAATAACAACAACAAAATCCAGAAAAACGCATGTCAAAAATATTATAAATTGATTTGCATTTTAATGAGGGAAATAAGTATTTGACCCCCTCTCAATCAGAAAGATTTCTGGCTCCCAGGTGTCTTTTATACAGGTAACGAGCTGAGATTAGGAGCACTCTCTTAAAGGGAGTGCTCCTAATCTCAGCTTGTTACCTGTATAAAAGACACCTGTCCACAGAAGCAACCAATCAATCAGATTCCAAACTCTCCACCATGGCCAAGACCAAAGAGCTCTCCAAGGATGTCAGGGATAAGATTGTAGACCTACACAAGGCTGGAATGGGCTACAAGACCATTGCCAAGCAGCTTAGTGAGAAGGTGACAACAGTCGGTGCGATTATTTGCAAATGGAAGAAACACAAAAGAACTGTCAATCTCCCTCGGCCTGGGGCTCCATGCAAGATCTCACCTCGTGGAGTTGCAATGATCATGAGAACGGTGAGGAATCAGCCCAGAACTACACGGGAGGATCTTGGCAATGATCTCAATGCAGCTGGGACAATAGTCGCCAAGAAAACAATTGGTAACACACTACGCCGTGAAATGACTGAAATCCTGCAGCGCCCGCAAGGTCCCCCTGCTCAAGAAAGCACATATACATGCCCGTCTGAAGTTTTCCAATGAACATCTGAATGATTCAGAGGATAACTGGGTGAAAGTGTTGTGGTCAGATGAGACCAAAATGGAGCTCTTTGGCATCAACTCAACTCGCCGTGTTTGGAGGAGGAGGAATGCTGCCTATGACCCCAAGAACACCATCCCCACCGTCAAACATGGAGGTGGAAACATTATGCTTTGGGGGTGTTTTTCTGCTAAGGGGACAGGACAACTTCACCGCATCAAAGGGACGATGGACGGGGCCATGTACCGTCAAATCTTGGGTGAGAACCTCCTTATCTCAGCCAGGGCATTGAAAATGGGTCGTGGATGGGTATTCCAGCATGACAATGACCCAAAACACACGGCTAAGGCAACAAAAGAGTGGCTCAATAAGAAGCACATTAAGGTCCTGGAGTGGCCTAGCCAGTCTCCAGACCTTAATCCCATAGAAAATCTGTGGAGGGAGCTGAAGGTTCGAGTTGCCAAATGTCAGCCTCGAAACCTTAATGACTTGGAGAAGATCTGCAAAGAGGAGTAGGACAAAATCCCTCCTGAGATGTGTGCAAACCTGGTGGCCAACTACAAGAAACTTCTGACCTCTGTGATTGCCAACAAAGGGTTTGCCACCAAGTACTAAGTCATGTTTTGCAGAGGGATCAAATACTTATTTCCCTCATTAAAATGCAAATCAATTTATAACATTTTTGACATGCGTTTTTCTGGATTTTGTTGTTGTTATTCTGTCTCTCACTGTTCAAATAAACTTACCATTAAAATTATAGACTGATCATTTCTTTGTCAGTGGGCAAACGTACAAAATCAGCAGGGGATCAAATACTTTTTTCCCTCACTGTACACACACTGGGGAGGGGGGGTAAAGGTGAGAGCCAGGGCATAATGCTAAAGACAAAACACGTAGCTTTAAACAAATGTTAAACGCTTGTAAAACAGTGACTGTGTTGTGCCAACCCTGAGATTCTATATCCGCTACCACTTCCCACCACCCCTTTAACAAGGTCACGCTACAGGGTCGTAAAATAATAATAATTTACTTATTTAGAGAGGAAGGCCACACTGAGTCGGAGGACTATTATTCAGGAGGGTCCTGCTGCTACATTGGGTTTTTATTTTCAAGATGTTTCAGCCAATTTATGATGCTTTGTATTTCTTTTACAAGTGGGAGGAAATCAGAGCACCTGCAGAAAATCAATGCACGCGGGAGACGGGGGGGGGGGGTAACGATCTATCCCCATACAGAAGGAAAGAGGTCGATTAGTCCACTTGCTGTAATGCCTTCTTCCTGGTGAGCCAATGTGTGGCACCTCCTCGACGCCCACGAAAAAAGTTTCACAACATTACGTACGGCGATTCATCAACCCGCGCTACCTCCGCAGTGCTGGACTACTACTACAGGCAGTCACGTGCACCGCCACCACTGCCCGGCTATGGCGGAGGAGGGCCAAGGGCGGTAGTCTAAACCCACAGAACGAGCAACCACTGTTGACTATCCAATAAGTAGCACAGATTTTGTTGACTGCAGTGGTGATGGTGTTTGGAGATGATGATGATGATGAATTAAGCACCCTACTCCCCACACCCTTTCCCGTCCCGAGATGTCTGCAAGTTGCAGGGTGGGTTCACCTCTGAATCTCGGAACGCGCAAGCAGTGAGCGTTAATTTTATTGAGAGAATCATAGCGCCGTTGTTTTTTAAAGACATTGCACTCGACGCAGAGAACTGCAGCAACATGGCCGCACTCTGTGATAGCTGGAGCTTCGGTACATACATCTTCCAACCTGAAGGCGTACTGATAAAGTTATTTTATGTTAGTTTTTCTTACGATTCCGTTCCGATGACGTACATGTACAGAACGGAATCTGAAGAAAAACCCGATGACGTGTACACGTACGCCACCGTACACGTACGCCATCGGAATGGGAAAGGGTTAAATAGGGTCAATGCTAGAAAGGCTGAGTGGAGGCTACTGACTTGGAGAAGATCTTGGAGACGCTTTCCGAGTGGCAGTAGACCGTGTGGAAGAGCCAGGAGAAGCAGAGGCACAGGATGGCGCCCAGGAAGAACGTGCCAAAGACCACCTTCTCCTGGAGCGGTGCGATGAACGCGATGTTGGGCCTCAGCAGGTAGATGGTGCCCAGGATGAGGAACAGCAGGAAGCCTGCGATTATGACAAACAATAGCGAGGGGGGGGGGGGGACACGTGCACAAAAAAATTCTCAGCAACTCCCGAAGAATTGCCGATATTTTTTTGTTGTGATTTAACGATGTCATGACTCGCGGGGCAGCCTGCTACATGGCCCAGCGGTGATGTTACTGCAGCCGTCTGTACAAGTTCTCAGTTCCAGCCCAGCGGCTGCCCTGGTTAACATGGCCGGAATAATTAACCACAAAATACACGCCGTCTGCATCGTGGTGAGCATTGTGAGATCTCCGACGCGATTCCACAAAGACGAGGCCAAGCGTGCCGGCGTCATGCTCCAAACTGACCAAATTTCACAAGTTACTTGCAAATTAATTAATTGGAAAATGGTGTGTAGCAACACTGCCCCCCCCTCCCACCGTACTGACAATTACAGGCCGGTGTTGCTTTGACCTTGTGCCACACAGGGATATACCGCCACTGGTATCCCCCCCTTGCATAGATTGCCACAGGGCACCTCAATATTTATTGCACGGGAAAGTGCAGCACAAATATTAAGTGCTTAAGATATAAGCAGCATGATACTCGTTGGTTCGGGGATACAACTAGATTAAGCATCTGTAACCTAGCGTGCTCCATTCCCATGCCGTTTGCAATGGAATGTAGGGCCAGTTTCGGTTATTTGGCCATTTTTCATTTTAAGCATTTACAGCGCCACCTCCGAGAGGAATATTCGCACCCAAGCACCACCTCCAAGCAGTAAATGTAAATTATCAAACAACAATGATCGCACCAACTTTTACAACAACACAACTTGAGCCACCTTTTACGACAAACACGAGCGAATTAGACACCCGAGCCCATCAGCAATATCACTACCGTCCAATCTCGAGCCACCCTCAGCACATACGCTCAATCATCAGGTACACAAATATTTATCACTTGTTTGCCCACGCAAATGTGATTCATTACACTTGCGGTGGGAGGTACAACTTAAGTAATTGCGGCAAGTTAGGTCCAGTTGGCCTTTACAAAGGTGGTAAAGGTGCAAAACTGCAGTGACTTGCTCACGCCACTTCTGGCAGAAGGGCCTACATTAGAGGTTATTTGGCCTACTCTTCCACGCTTTGCACCCCCGCACGCAACTTGTCGATCGTCTGTTTACCCCATTCATACTGCTGGGTGGACAGAGGTAAGGGGGGGGGGGCATGGGAATTTAAGAAACTTGTCCAAATTCTCAATTGCTGCGCAGTAAGACTGAATCGATCCGGTGACCTCTGGATTGTAAGTTCAGTGTGCTAACGATTACCCTACGGCAGCATAATTGTTTTCGTTAACACGCCATAAAACTTGAGCCGATGCCAGTTTTCAAATGTGTTTATCTCAACTATGACACAGTCACATGCTGTTCTGCCTAAAGCGGAGGAGTGGGCATTGGTAATTTTACACATAAATTTAGCAGCTGGGAGTTATCAAGCCGTCCACTCTGGCCCAGTGGCATGTGCGTCGACCAGCTACCCTACCCACTCTAAAACCTTCAACTGCCTCAGAGGTCATGCACATTAAACTATCAGCTGACAGTGCAACCATGCCATCGTTTACATGTTTGCACATACGGAGTTTGTTTCATCAGTTATCTTGTTGCCTCTAGCTGTAAGAGAAAAGCCATTTTTCCATCTTGTGTAAAGCAATGTTTTGTTAAGCAAAGACTTAACAAAGTGTCTGCGTATGCAAACAATTCCTGAACATGTATATTGATTCTGCTATACAACCCGAATTATCTTAAAATTACAGTACAGTTAATAATAGATGCCTATGGTTAATGTGCCCATCTAGGAAGCTAAGCCAATTGGGCCTGGATAATGAATGGATTATTACTTCGCTTGTTGAACCAAGAAAGCCTCACCAAGTCTCAAAGCTTGTTTGCAGCAGGGTTCTGCCAAGTTCCCAGGAGGAGGGCGACTTTGCTTTGTGTAATCCCTATTGAGTAACTTTCTGGGTAATTTGTCAGCATTTGGAATGTTTTGGCAATATCAGCAACCAGCATAAATGAGTGACCACAATGCACAGGGTTTGGCAACCTGCGGCACTGAGCTGCACGCGATTCTTTACGGTCTGCTTCATGGCGTTATTCACATGCATCGCGGCTCTTGAATTGTTGATGTTTTTACCGAATTCGCGAAAAAATGGCTCCTCCTGTTATTCTGGTTGCCGACCCATGATAAAACAGACAGTGTAGGCTGTTGCGTGGCTACATATTCAGTGGACAAGTGCATAAACAACCTACTTGCTGTACTGCATCACGCAGGCAGCTTGTATTGCAGGTGTCCGCCTACAACATACATGTCAAGTCTCAAGGATTCCCCTTGACACGGTTTTCACGATTTCGAGAGTGTCTTACAGTCATGCAATGGATTTTCACGTTTTTTGCTGTTTACATGAAAATAATACAATCAGTCCCGTTCATTGCAATATCTTACCGGCAGCTGCCGATGGGTCAGGTCTCATGTATGGGTAAGCTGGAAAAGTGTCGTCTTTACTCACAGTCCTTCTATGAGAAATAAGTGGGAACTAATAACTATCCCAGGCCATTATTATTATTTAACGTACTATAGGGGGTGTTCATTTAATTTACTAAGGGGCGCCATGATGGCGAGATGCTGCCCTCCGTAATTCACATCGTTGTCATGATTTTGACTCACGATTCAAAAATCACAAATCAATTATATATTTTCCCTTGTGGTGCATAGTGGTATGAATCTATATAACCTATAGTTGCAGGAATCTTTAAAATGTAGAGTAACTAAAACCTATACAATATATGTAGTTAGTTATTTTGGAAAGCCTCACCGAGTCTCGAGATAATTTTCAGGAGCTTTTGCACAGCCCATACTTCATCAAGTTGGTCACTGCCAGTTGATGAAGGGAGAGGGAAGCCCAGGAATGGCACAGACATCACTTGCCACTGATGTCAGCCATAACCGGGAATCAAACTCTGGTCACTGGGTTTGTTGTGCCACTGCTCCTCCTCCTCGTGTACATGTATAGAGGGTTGTAACGATATACCCACCCCACCACCATCTCCCCTGCATCCCGGAAAGTTGATGAACTGCGGTGGATGTAGCAGCCAATTGAAGCCAAACGGGGCACATTAACCCCATGAATTCATTGGCCACTGATGTTAACCATGGCCACGAATTAAATTCAGGTGGCCGGGACATAGCGCAGTACGCTAACAACACATTCATCACCATCAGCATCTAATATTTATAATACGTTTCCCAGCCAGTACATCGAGGCACCAGAGGATACGAGTATTTGAGGTAATTACTCAGTAAGGAAATAATTTCAGAGCAAATGCAAGGTTCAAATACAATACAACACAGTAAAAGTGTTGCACAACCTTTGGTCCACGGACCACTGTGGGGGATCTCTGTCTGTGGGAAGTGGCCTGCGAAACTGTTACCAATTATTTTCCCAAAACACCAGATATTTTTCCTTTTCTGACTGCACGGCAGTCCGCAATAATTATTGGAGAGCTGACATCGGCTCCCGAGGGGCCAAAATAGGTTGTGAACCACCTACATGAGAGAATACACAACAAATGAGCAAAAAAAAATATCATCATCACGATCCATGGGCAGATAAGCCTGTAATGTAGGTGTTCACTGCACATGTCATTTGTTTCCACTTTCTTCTGCCAATGTGCTCAATTAGTGGCCACATCTTTCTAGCACCAATATCTTACATCGCCGGTCAAGCCATTCTCTTCCTCTCGTTCCAGTTCTTTCCATTTTTCCGAAAAACACTTTACATTTTTATGTTGTCAGTCCTACATGTGTCCAAACAGTGTCAGTTTCCTTCTCATCACTGCCTCCACCAGGTCTTCTTCTATGCGCAACCTTTTCTTACTTTGACGTTGGTCCATCTTTGGGTCCAGCTTACATGGCAGTATCCTCTCTAGCAACACATTTCGAATGCCCACAACTTATCTCGGTCGGCTAAAATAAACATAGCGCGCAATAAACATAGTTGAAACAATTTCAATCGTAGCGTCACAAGTTCCCCCTTTAGGCAGAGGTAAATCGGGGGGAGGGCAGGGCATCGCGCCAACTGTCAGCTGACCGATGAGGTGCGTCCAGATGTTGCCGGTCTCCGTGTGGATGCGGAAGATGCTCCTGAAGCACGCGCGGAACGACGGCATCGGCGGGCGGTGGCCGTGCAGCAAGTAGTCGTTGTCCTTGAGCCAATCGGGGAGAAGGTCGTGCGAAAGGACGGGCCACCTCCCCTCCCACACCTACGGGGAGAGACACGTCAAATCCCACGTGTGCCCCTAAGCGCTTCCCTTCCATTAGCAACGATGAAATTAAAATGCAAATGAGGGTGGCATAATAAGTGTGGTCAACAATTTAGCCATTTTTTATATACGGGTTTCCGTCTGTCCACCCCTAGTTGAAAATGGGCCGATGGTCTTTATATTTTCGCACATCTCGATTTTAAGGGCATATATGATTTTTTTGTCTCTCCGTTTACTGTGAAACGTTTTTCTAAAATATTACTGCCATTTACATTCAAAGCTTAACATGATAATTATGCAAACCTAGCTCACATTTGTATCAAAGTATAAGAATGAACGAATAATTATAATAATTATATCAATCCACTGCCATATTTCTTAAACCAGGATAGTAACGCAGTGTGCTAACCACTTCACAACTGCTCCAACCAAAGGATTAACTCGGCAGATTTAAACCAAAAGAGAGCAAACTGTATTCTCATTTGTTAAGAGAAATTATGTTCCTGGACAACGTTTACGTCAGACGTTTCTATATAACCATATATAAATTTTGTAATGACCACACACAGGGTGTCAAAGCCGTTGAGAGTGCAGCTGCCACCTGTAATGACGGCAACGCTATCAGTTCCCTCGTGGCCTGACATGAGCATTAACATTTCAGCAGCACATGAAACGCCATCCCAAAACGTGTGCGCTCGCAAGACTATGGGGAAGGCAGAATCGCACAGCACAATGGTAAATCTAGTACACCGGTGAACAAAAAACACTGGGTTCAAAGAAATATTTTGAGTAAATTTCTACCCGACTTTTTTTTTTTACACCACAAATGTCCTCTCTAAGTGTCACGATGAAGAAATGTCCACTTCACCCAGAATTCTAGCAACGTGCGGAGTATTGAACTGCTGTCCGAGAACAGTATTGAACTACTTTTCAAGTCCCTTCAAGACGCCTCCCTCTCATGCCCACTAGAAGTGCACTTAAATTCTCTGCCAGAGTGCAAATCTTGTGTCAATTTAGAATCCTCAGAGCTGCAGTGTACAGAATTATTATTTTAAATAGAAACTAAAATCGTGCAATTATTGGTAACTGAGCGCAACCCATCAACTCGCTACACTTGAGAAACCAGTTTATTCACAGGCGGCTGAAACCAGGATTTTAACCCAGGATCTCAGTAGCGCCGGTGTAACGCTCTCTGGCACCATATTGGCACCCTGATATAACCTTAGCCGGGCCACGTGTAAAAAAAAAACACACACACACGAGCCGACTTAAAACCCCGTGTAATCTTTTACCCCCAAACGCTTTCAAAATGTGATGGACGTTTTCAATCCAATGGGCTTAGGACGTGTGACTTCACGACATGCATTGTCATACACCACACTGACTTGGCTCATCTTTTTCGCAGGATGCTATGGTGAGGATGTATGTTGTGATGTCGGCGTTGGTTTTCACCACCTGCTCTTCTCAATGCTAACCGGAGACGGCCTGTCAAGCGATGAAACCCTGCCCTTCCCACATTCATCATGAATGAAAGAGACAATGTGCCGCAAGCACGTGTAATAAACATTAACAGTAAAAAAATATGTTACTTATTCACTGTGTTCTTGGTTCTTTCGGTAAAGTCACGGAGAACGGAAATAATACCGAAAGAACCAAGAATATGAATCCCCTGCAGTCACGAAAGCTTTACATCGAAATTTATTCACTGTGCTCATAATCCAAAGTTCACCAGTTCTATTTCCCCAGGTGGGAGTTGAAACATTGGGTAGGTTTCATAAATCCAGGCGCTTCTATCCACCCAACATTGCAACAAGGTACATCAGTTAGTCGATTGGCAGGTCGCATGTGGTGGGATAGAATGTGGGTACTATTACCACTTCCTAGAGGTCTGGCGTTGCACGGAAGAGAAGGCCAAATAGCCTTGAGATGAGCACTCCAGAAATCCCCCCAAGTGCAGACTCCTTCTGCCAGTAGAGTTGTAAGGAAGTAATTTGCAGGGCTATACATTTAGCATGATGCGAATGTCGGAAAAAACGATCATTGTGAGAGAAGGAAAAAAAACCGCTACCAACAAACAACCACGTAATGACGTATTACTTCATCAATTAAAATCAATTACGAATCCCGAACGATCTTGAAACACCCATCATTTTATGAACGTGAGAAATGATTCTCCATGCCCCTTCAAACACTCTGCCTGCTCCAGCAAGCAAGGCTTCCTGTCCGAGTCGCCAGACAACCTTCACTCAGTGGGACATCGCTTACGTATGCTCCTGCGCTGCCATCATGACCCGGGACTTCCTTCCATGCTCTGAACTGCCCGCCTGAGTCTAGGCTCGAGCCGTTTATTTTTCCCTCTCCCTATGACGGACTTCTTCTTTAAACACAATAATAATAATAATAATAATGCCAACCCTCTTCTGTGCAGTGTCTTGAGATGCGGTCCCATTTAGACGCAATATAAATCCACGTTGGATTGTACACAAATTACACGCCAAGGTATTCATATTCTTGGTTCTTTCGGTAAAGTCACGTAGAAGGGACTTTACCGAAAGAACCAAGAATATGAATCCCTGCAGTCACGAAAGCTTTAAATCAAAATTTTACACGCCAAGGGTTACACTCAGGCTATTGTAAGCGACCAATTTGTACAAATAACACAAACAAATTAGAAACAATATAATCGATATGGTAAAAAGTGGACCAAAATAATAAATCGTTGAATCGAATCGCAATCCAGAATCGTGGCAATTCATCAAATCTCTTGCCGGTTGAAAGGAGTGCATCGTTATCACACGCCTAATAATAAATCATCCCCTTTCAGAAATAAAACGGGAAAAAAATTCGATTACAACCGACAATACTCGTTTTGCTTTCATGACAGATAAAACAGTAATTTATTTTGTAGCAAAAAAAAAAAACCCACACTGCCGGATGAGGAATGGGTTAACTCCGCTAGCTGAGGCACTATCAAGAGCAGGCGGCTCTGCAATTACTTTGCCACGAATTATCTCCTTTCCGCTTATCACGCTTCCTCGCTCAACTGCTCCGCCGCTACACCGGCGAATGTACAAGCGGGCGAATGCTAAATTATATTTTTCTCCGCGTCAGCGCTATTACCCTCGTGGGGGGGGGGAAGAGGAAAAAAAGCGTTCGGCCGGCAGAAGCGTGGATCCATCGGGAATGCAGAGAAAGGACTCGACCGAAAAACGACGGGAAAATATTTTCCGATTAGCTACGCAAAAAAACACAGGCACCGCAAATTCGCTTTGTCTGAAGCGCAGCTGTACAAACTATACAACAATTTTTTTTTTTTAACAGAGCCATATAGCTTTTTTTCATAAGCGACTTGGCCATCACAAATGATAGCAATGAAGCGGCTTACTGCGTAGACATTCATCGCAGCCAAATACTCTGAATGCATGCCGATTCTAAATGCGGGGGGGGGGGGGGGAAACTGGAGGACCCAGAGAAAAATCTATGCCACCACAGGGAAAACATGCAACTCCAAATATACCGGGATTGAATCCATGACCTCATGTATACCAGGTGAGGTAGTTAACATCTCACCACCGTGGCACCCTACAGTGCGCCTCTGTGCACATATCAGCAAACGACATTCATGCTTGGGTAATTTAATTAATGCTTGGGACCTCTCATGCCATTTTGTGGGCAAGAAGCAAAAACAACACACTTTGGATGTATAAAGAGCCTTAACTGAAATAGCACCGTGTGTCAAGCTGCCGTACAAGCAAGCTGAAAGATGGACACGGCGCATCTCGAAAGTAACTTGGTGAAAAGGGAAGGCTTTTGCTTTCAAAGTGAATTTGGAACAGATGGGAGTTAAGGTTATTTTGGAGGTGACAGGGCATAGAGATAAAAGCAGACAGCAGTGTGGCGGCAGGTGTAAATGCAATGCATATAGAGTACATCCACAGCACATCGGAAATAATTGGCGAAAAAGGAAGGGTGTTTTTCTTGCTGTGTTGTTTTTAGAGAGGATGGAGTAATGGTTAGGGGGCTCCAGGGCAGACAGAGAGAGAGAGAGAGAGACATAAACTAGACAACAGAATATTAAAGGTGGAAATTCATTTCACAGCCGATACAGGCATAGGCAGTGATAACAAAGTGCAAAAGCATGAACTTGAGTTTGTGGGGCAAGCGAAAAGGGGGGAGGGAATACCAGACCACATGGGCAGCAGCAGCAGCAGAAAATAAACAATTGGCCATTGAGCTGAGGCCGAATGACGGACAAGTAATCGTAACGCGTTTGACTTCCGCGCAGCGCAAACCGCAATCTCACCTTGCACACAAACTCCTCAACCCTCTCCATCGCCTGGTGCGCCTGCTGAGGGATGTGGATCAGACGAAGGATGTTGTCTCGTTTGTCCTCCACCTCCTCCACCACCTCCTCCTCCTCCTCGCTCTCTTTCGAGGAGACGGTGGCGGCCTGCAAAATGAAGGTCACCAGAGTCAAAAAAAGTGCCGTGTCCCGAGAGAGCAGGCACACACACAGAAAACACAAACAAAAATATACATCCATTGTCTAGTGTTACAGACTCTCAGGAAAAGTGCTGTTAGCGAGCACCTATTAAGGCCTGGACGGCACTCCAGATGATGGTGTGGACAGCGCCACGCCTAGCTGCATTGGCAGATACTGCATCAGGTGCTCATTTAAGGCCGAGTCGACATAGGGGAGGCCTAGGATCAGTTCTGATATCACTCGCTAGTGACATTAGCTGTGGACAGGAATAGAACTTGGGTGCGTTCGGTAACCCTTCCAAAGACAAAGATCCCCCGGATATCCTTAACAGACTATCGGGGCTAGTGCTGTAAGCAAGCACCTATGAAGGACGGTACTACACACGAGGGGGTGAGTGGCCAGCACCATGCCCAACCACCTTTGTTTCCATAGTGGCGATGTTTACACTCTGCACAAGGTACTCATTTGTGGCTTAGTCGACCTAGGGAAGGTCCTGGACCGGCTTAGATAATCGTCACTGGTGTTGGGCGTGAGCGGGAATAGAACTCGGGTCGCCAGGTTCATAGCACAGCACGCTAACCGATACACTATCGCTCCCCACACTACCACGATACCACCACACACATATGCGCACACAAATACAAAAGACAATCAAAGAACATGTATCATTCAGCCCTTAGAGACTGTTGAGACTGAGGGATGAGTTGAGTAACATGCTCAGAACCATCAGCCAATGACATCTTAAACTCGTGGGAAGCACGTTGACATTTAATCGTGCCAGGTTTATACCCATGCTTTGTATGATTTTGAAGCAAGAGTTGTATCACGAGCTTGGGCTATTGTTAACAGTGGAGCAGAGAGCACCGGGGCTGATTACCAAATCATTGAGTGAAAGTTTAAATGTTTTTTGTATGTATGTTGAACATCTTTCGCATTATACGTAGCCAACTGTGCTAATCGGAGGAACGGTATGTATGTATGTTGAACATACATACCACACCTTTGTATCTTTGACCTTGTTTGTAAGAACGACAAATCACACATAAGCTTTTAAATGACTCCATATTCAACGAGTGGTCTCGGAGGAGTTCTCCGGATATACAAATAGATTAGCTTACTGTTATAAAGTTAACTGCCATTACATTGCCCGAGTACAATGAACCAATACCAACCACTACAGCTGCTGGGTGTGGTACTTGCAACCATTAATGGGTGTTCATTGCCCTATCCTGATGGTAACTAGATATAACTAAACAACAAGAGGATCCGCATAGGCACATACACATTATCATATTCTACTTGCGAGGGGCTTTAATGGCATCAGTTACGACCCAAGGGACTCTTCTTTCGCAAGCTCAGCACATGAGCATTAACCCCCGAGGAAAGGTTCAACGAGAAACGATATAAATTTGGCAAGTGAATACATTTGTCAAGTGAATTAGAATTGCAATGCGTATTCATAAAATACGTATTTATATAATACGCTGTACAACAGTGGGGCGTATTTACTTCACAAAGCCATCAATTTTGTGAGCACTGGGCTATTTTTATTCATTGCTGTTGTTTGCTCTGTTCATCTCAAACCTTGACTGTGGATTACTTTGCAATGCACACACACCAACCCACAGAAAGCTGCGTACCTTCAAAACGCTAGCTACGTTTTTAAACCAACGCAACTGCTGTAGGCGGAGAACAGCACTCGTTTTACCTATCAAAAGCTGAAAAATGTCGTTGGCAGGTTTCGGTTTGGCCATCTAAGTTTAGTTTGGATACAGCCGGGTCGCTGAACTGTAATGCAATGCAGCCATTGCAACCACGCAGCCTGGGCCAGTTTATCTGGCACGCTGCCAGGATTTTATCTTGCCTGACCTTTACTCGTACTTTATTTTTAAATGACAGCATCCAGCTGAAAAAAATATCACACCACGTGTACAGAGAGAGTTCCGGTCAGGACTACGGGGAGATTCCGGTAGCATTGTCTCGGCGATCGACAGCGTCCCACGTGACCCCATTGCAAGTACGGACTCGGGCGCTCGCAGACAATGCACCCGGCACCCGCGCGGCCTAAAATGTGGTTCAAATGAACCGGCCCACTCCGATCCCAGTATTCCCAGTTGACATTGCGAAATATCGTCACACTTCTTTCACTTAACTTCTTCTAATTTCGTACGGGTTGCCGGATTCAAGCGGCTGCCCCCGATAAATGCTGAGAGGGTATATTACGTGTAAAGAAATAAAAAATCTATAAAAACCGGTGAATGCCATGGATAACAGTTATTATAGGCTGTGGGGCTATGTAGTGGGCATCAGACAGCATTGCAATAAAGTCCATTGTAGTACTGGGCTTCTCTGCTCCCAAATCTATGCTCCCCACGTTTACCAACCCGCACTGACCAGCATGGTAAGTATGGTCAAACATCCCTCAAAGCACATGGTGTGGCTATCATCCAGCAGTGGATTGACAAGAGAGCTGTAAGTGGATTTTATTTAAAGTTCCTAATTGCCACCGCATCCCAAGGCACTGTACTCAAGCGTGCTGTGACAGCAGTCCTCGATGAGACTTGCACGTTTTACCTCTCCCATTAATGACGCTTTGAGACAAGTCAGACGGACAGCCTGGGGACACACAGCCTGGGCATCTACAATACGAGAGCAAAGCAGAGCGATACATCAAAATAAAGACGATTCTCTCATGCTCACGACGCGCTCACCAAACACTACAATGCTAGAATCGATCTTTTCTGTCTGTATACTTTGCATGTGAACAGGTTCAAATAAAACCTGCAGAATCTGCCTGCACTGCAATGGCTAAAAAAAAATTGCGGATGCAATTGGAATTGCGAATCGTGACATTTCATAGAATTGCAAGGGGAAGGCAGAATTATTACCTGCCTAGTCAGAGATATTTGTTATTTCGGGTGTCTTGCTTTCAATAGATTTAAAAGTTTACAATCCTGAGAGCCTAGAAACCAAACTTGTAATTGAGCGGTAACCTGGCATGGAAGGGGCTGTTACCACAGACAACCCGGAATGCACCCAGTTTCATCACATCTTGAAGGCCAAGCAAAGTTTGAGCTTGGTTCAGCACTTGGGATTGTGACTATCGGCACTTTCCAGGTGCTGGAGGCGTGGGACCGCGAGGTGTGGAGTGGAAATTAAAGGACGAGGTCTCACCCTCCCCCCCTCACGTGTGAATGGTGAGCTTAATCCTGGTTCTCCAGTTTCCTCCCAAGTGAAGCCAAATGTCTTGATAATGGAAATGGCCAAAACATCCCAATGGTACTGTGCACGTTTTCGCGGTTGCGCTGGAATAGATCTCGGAAGCAGCTCCCAAAACGTGGAGTGAAATGTCGACCATGCCAAGCAAGATGCGGTCCAACACGCAAAAAATGTCAGAGATCTGTAGCAGGATTAATGAAAAAAATAAAACTCTTGAGACTCAGCGATGATTTCCTTGCTAAGCAAGTGGATGTTGTTGCTTTTTTATTTTTTTAACTAGTACAAACAAGGAGTTAAAATCCAACACTTTCCAAAAATTATGAGAAAACCCATCACGACGGGAATATGCTTGCAGGATGGAATCAAGGTGATTTAACAACACGCAAAAAGTGTTCCCATAATAATGACAAGTGCACTCCGTGCGTGTATGTTATTTTACAGTTATGTTTGAGTATATTCTGTCCCCCCTCCCTCTCCCCCCCTGAAAAATACCACGGCAAAATTGCCCTTCCCTCCCGGGGTCTTGTTCAATGGAAAAAAAAAAACCCATAACACACAAAGGTGTGCTTGAGTCGGTGGCCCCCAAACAATAACACGGCCACACGTTCAGCTCTATCGCGCTGGTGTGCCGACACAAGACTGACAGCGTTGCACGTGCAGCGTGGCCGATCACATGACGTGCACGCAAGGCATCACAGGAGCCGGCACCTTTCTGCCGTTTGGGCACTGGCGCGCGCCTTCCTGTGCTGTTAAATCCACCGCGCGCGAGTGCTACAAGGACGAGATACGTAAGGAGACAAGATGATGATCACGCGACCGACCGCCGCGATGTCACACCAGCGGCAATTTGGGCCGCTCGCGTGAAAGTGTCCCCCAGTGTGCAGTCTCCAGCGCACGACCAACAAAAAAAAAACCACGTGACAATGAAAATAAATGAATAACCGAGACACAAAAAACACCAGCCTCCTTTATATATCCGCCTTCATCCAGATGCAATGTTCACAATAAGAGCATGTAGGTTTTTTTAAGTGAAATGGTAATTAGTGCCCTTGTTATGTAAGCCTATTAAAAGGCAGCGATTTAATCCCTTTCAGGCTGAGAGTACAGTGAACAAAGGCGGTAAAACGAGAGAGGGTGGTCCTTCTTGAGTTGCCTTTTTTTCATGCCGCAGGCTATGAGTAGATTAAGAAAATGTATTTATACTGAAAAATCCGATGAGCTATGAAGCTATTTGTCAAAGAAAGAAAGTTAAAACAACAAACAATACAAAAAGAGGATAGGAGTCCAAAGTACAAGAAAGGTAAACAAATGACCCAACACATACAAATAATAGTACACTGAGGTATTAACTTATTTTTCAAAAGCGAGCTGGCCACAAATGGTAGCTCAACAAAGCGACTCATCATTTTGACATTGAGAGCAGCAAAATCATCTAAATAGTCTCAACGAATGAGAATAGGTTTTCCCCTTATTCTGGCAAAAAAAATAGGTGTTAAGATTCTAGATTTGAAGTTTTCGTGACTGCAATGATCCATACTCTTTGGTTCTTTTGGTAAAGTCACGTAGGTAAAAAATAAAATAAAGTTAATCAAATTACGACATTTCAGAAGCAACACAAGCCTCCGTCATCAGGTGGGATAGTCACAGCAAGAAGTAATTTGTTGGAGTGGACGAAATTACTCCTTGCAGTGACTATCCCACCTGATGACGGAGGCTTGTGTTGCTTCTGAAACGTCGTGATTTGATAA